GGTCACTCAAAAGATTCGTGTGAAACAGAACGCAACAGTTTTACATATAAACTGTCGTAACTTAAGACGAACAATTCTTTTGCGGATGTAGAGACAATTGCTATATTCTAATCATTGCATTGTTACGTAGAACGAAATATTAAAGCAATATTGCAAATTGTATGATTTCAGGTAAATTTTCGACACCTTTTTTTTAAACATGTTTAAAAGGGTAAAATAGTATTTGAAATTCATTAATATTGACTATTTTAATTAATTCGACGTGTAATTTTTATATCGAAATTTGAACACTACAAAAAAAGCGTTTCATTTTACTTCATTGTTGTTTTCGTTCGCGTGGAGTATTTCTTGACAGTTTATTATTATTCTACTGTTTATGATCGATCTCTGTGATTTAATACGGATAAAAACTTAGCCCCTGTCCCTAGACATAATCTAGTTCTTTTTTAGTAAATATGATAAAAAAACAATTTGACTTATAACTTTCAAAGTTATTTGTTGTAACCATTTTAAAGTATTATACTGTAACTATAACAATACTTAATTTTTTTCTTCACTAAAGCACTTAAATAAAGAAATACGGTGTATGCATGAAAGGCTGTGTATTTCAGAGCTGCAATAAGTAGTAAATACAGAATCAGGGTAACGAAGAGATATTGTAAATTAGTGTGTATGTATAGACGAAATATTTACCTAGACCCAAGTTGCGCAATGAATATTATACTTTATATTCTCCAAATATCAATAATTTGTTAAAATTATTTAGAAAAGTTTATTTGATTTTAAATTTAAACGAACGTTATTATTTTTTATATATAAATTAGTTAAAACTTAGACGGTTCGAGTTTGTATATAAGCTTGATATTTTCTATAATATAATAATAATATTCTTTGCTCGGCTATGTGATTTTTTTAATATTTTAGGATAACGTAGAAGTAGTTTTTGACTTAATCGCTTACAAACATACGGAAAATAGTTTTTTTTATATTTTAAGAAGACAATTCAAATGAATATTTTTATTTACAAATAATTCAAAAGCACCTAATTGTATATTTTTAAGTAAGTTATTTTTAGTGTGAAAAACTTTTAGATTCATAAAACATTTTCGCCGTTTTTATCCACTTACCACTATAACACTTTTTTATTTATTTTTAATGTGTATTTTAATTATTTACGCGTGCTATTGAAAATAGCATTACCACGGTACTGTCGCATCTTACCCGTTGGACGGTCACTTGTTGGTAAGAGATATTCAACATTTTTCGTGTTTAAATATATTATATTAACAAATATTGACCAGAGGAAATTTAGATATACATAATATAAAATTTAAAAAAAACAGTAACGCTGCAAACCTTGATCCTGGTTTCAGACTTCTGCATGAGTTTTTTTATTAGGCAAGTTTTTTTATCAACATGCGGTAGACTCATCTGATTTTAAGTGATAATAAGTGCCAAAGGACACTCTCAATGCCAGAGGGCATGCAAGTGCGTTGCCGGCCTTTTAGGAATTGGTACGTTCTTTTCTTAAAGAACCCTAAATAGAATTGGTTCGGATAAACTTCAGTGGGCAGCTGGTTCTATATAGTAGTGGTGCGCGGTTTTTTAAAACGCACAACGGTGGAACTAAGAAATACGGGTGGAACTATGTATTCTGCTTCGACATTAATGCCGTAGAAGATGCAGAAAGACCCCATATTTCTACGCTACCACAAGGGATGTAAGTATGTGATCAGCCTTGCCTAGTGCCTGACACACTACGTCGAAACTTGGGTAATAGGTATTCCGGTTTTCTCACGATGTTTTCTTTACCGTACGAATTAGTGTTAAATGTGCGCATAGGCAGAAAATTTCATTTGTGCACCGGGGTTCGATAACAGGGATGAGAGTCTTACACTCAAGGTCGAGACTTTATAAAAAGATCTTTTTTTATAAATTGTCCAAATTCTCATGGCATATAATATGATGTACATTCATTCTTTATTTGGATTCAAAATTATAACATTATTTCCACGTTTTAAATTCATTGTATGTACATACAAAAAAGAAGAACCGAATAAATGATAATTTTCATCAAATTGAGGAAAATCCGATAATGGTAGCTAGGTGCCCTCCTTTTCACTTAATTGTTTAAATTGATTGTATTACTGCAAAGTGTAAATAAATAAATAGAAGACAAGAAATAAAAAAGGTTGGCAACCCACGCTGGCGCTTAGAGAGAGGTGTCGGCGAGAGCTGTTTGAAAGCCACCTCCGGTTTTACTTTTAATTTTTATATTTAGAACGTCAAACGTCACTAAACTAGGTTTTGGGTATCGATCTAGGCTACGTATCTGGGACAATTGACGTGTATCCAGCCATAAGTCAAACAATTACTAATTAAAAAGAATTCTTCATTCGAAAATGTAAACGTCATCTTGTCTATGGCGTGTTATATTATCTATTATTATTGTTTGACGTCAAAAATAGTTGTTTATTGTATAAAAGCATCATTGTTTTAATTTTATTTTTATAGTAACATAGTTAATGTATTTCAAATATTCTTAACCTACATAGTAGTATAAGTAATAATAATAATCAATTTAAAAATTCGAAATTATAACAAATTTTAAAGTTTGGTCCCTGTGGCAGTGTACCTTTAATGCTAACAGCATTTCATCGCTGAATTGCAATACTTATTCGTTGAGCCAGGAAAGCACCAGCTCTGGGGTCACCGGTACTATCTACCAGACGCCAACTTAAATCTTTAATTAGCGCCTGTGCACTTGAACCCCACGGCCCAAGAGTCTCTACTCCAAAGGAAACAAAACCAAAGTTGAAGGAGAGACTATGTTTGAGCCGTTTATTATTTTAATGTATTACTTTATTTGTAAGAAATATTATAAACTAACATTAATATGAGTAATCTATTTTCATACATCACCAAATTTTTGTTTATGGACATTAAATAAAGCTAAATGCTAATAGACCTTCAACGTTTGAGAAATTACAAGTGAGTTGCCTTTAAGGAAAGGAAAAAAAACCCTTATTTTTCGTGGTAAATATTTCTATATTAGAAAAATAGCTGTATACGTTCGCATCGCCAAAGATGACTAACACACTTTCACGTTGTGTAAGTTGTAACACTTCCTGGCCAATTATAAAGTAAGTATGACTAATCGATTTTGTTTATTGTTCAACCTTTACCTATTAAAATATTGCATAATATATCAAGATTGTTTTCCATACTCCGTCACATTCGTTGCCATAACACGTTTAGGCAACATCTGGAAGAACAGAGGAATTGGTATCAAAACGAAAATCAGACTGATACGGGCTATCTTGGCTCGACAAAGGATTGATGCTTTTAATATGTGATGCTGGAGGGGAATGCTATAAATACCGTGGACCGCGAAGCGCAGCAATTCATCGATCCAGACCCAACTCCGCATATTAACTCGCCTTTCTACCGAAGAGGGAAGTCGCCCGGTAGCGCCTCGACCCCGGAGCACAAGCTGCCAGTAATTCTATTTAATTTAACAGAAAACAGATCTTACTTATAAAAGATAAATTGCCTCATCGCAACTTGGACGCTAAATCGAGTGATTACAAATATCACTGTTAGCTTATAGCTCCCTTTAAGAGGCGTTTATAAGTAAGGGGGTGATCGTCTGCGGGCGTAACGGTTAATTAAAATAGAGATGCTAATCTTGTAAAGTGTATTACTTTAATAACTGAACTTTATTTAAGGCGATTGAAAATAAATTTAAGCTAAGAATCTTTAAAAACTGATTTATACTATGGAACTATTTTAGTATATGTAAATTATTGTTTGTATTTCATTTGCCTAAAAGACTACGGCTGTGTAAAAGACTTCAACGCTCCTGCGTCTCCTACAAAATAACACAAAACATAAAAACAATAATGTCTCCGGGATACGCAATAAGAAAACTTATTACAAACAAACAAAATGTCCCCGGGGACAGAACTCTGCTCACATATAGTAGCTTGCTCTATCATCATCGCATGGCGAAGCTTACAGCGGTACAGCAGAGCTACCTAGCTTTTTTTTTAGATTTAAGTGATACAGATAAAAGTGGTGTTATTATTAGGTTTATAAAAACTTTCGTTCTCAATAGCTTTAACTGATTAATAACACTGTTTAAGAATCTCTTTCGAGACAAATATAAATTGTGCCTATTAATTGTAAGTACTTACAACCAAGCTCCTCAAAAAACTTTGATTTAGTTTTGTCCAGTTTGTCGTGATTTTTTGTCATTTCACTTTCTGTCACATCACTTTCATTACGCACTATTAATTTCACTGGTATCATCGGTCTAGCGGTCTTGTACTTTAAGCTTTTCAATTCACCGTCCTCTAACACCGTTATTTCTTCATAATTATTAACTATACCGGTGTTTTTTTCGACATTTTTGATTAAATTCTCATCGAACCGTCTCTCGTTTATAAGTCTTAATAGCGCACTGTTGTTTTCACGTAATATATCTTTTGAAATGTTCACATTGTTTGAATCACTTTCGGCTGTCACTGTTAATATTTTGATAATTAAAAGTATTTTAAAAACTACTTCCATTTTGTAAGGTCAGTCTGTTAATGTCCATTGAAACTTTTACCCCGAATTAAAACTGCCGAACAAATTAAATACTTTATTAATACTAAAATTCTATGCTTTTAGATGTTTTGAAAGCGAAAGTTCTCTCACCGGATGTTGGTTGTTAAGTGACGAAAAACGATGTTAACACGACAAAGTAAGCTTACATAACACGACTCAGGTTTATGGCGCTTTTTTGGGAAATATTTTTTAACGCCTGATAAAAAATTGGAGCAAATGAAGTTGTTGTTTTTATATTTTCCGCAGTAAATAAAATAAACAATCACCATGTTTTATTTCATTTATTAACTTTTTATAAAACAAAAAACAGTTAACCAATATTAATATCACATATATTTTTCAAATAATAATAATTAACGTATACTCAAAATATTTCATTTAAAATATCTTTAAATCTTACTTCTCGTACTTTTAAGCATTTTACGAAGCTCCTTTCGTAGTATCTTTCCTGTTTGATTCTTCGGTATCTCTGGAATAAACCTAACTCCACCTCGAAGATGTTTAGGATTCGACAGCTGAAAAAAAGGATGTGATATATTTTTTAAAGAATTTTCATATCTCTCAATCCATTTTATTCTGATTGTTAATTGTTTAATTATAAATTATATTTTAATTTTGTTTATCTAGCAAAAATGTTTGTAAAATATAAAATAAAAAAGATATGTCTACTTATAAGACGAAACTCACTTTTTCAGCCACAAAGTCCTGTATCTCCTTCTCCGTCAACTGCACGCCAGGTTGTAGTACCACGAAAGCTAAAGGTAACTCTCCAGCTGCGACATTGGGTAGACCAACTACGCCTACTTCTCGGATACCACTGTGCTGTAGTAATATAGCCTCTATTTCTGCTGGTGCAACCTATATTTGAAAGAGCATTTATATATAATAATAATACTGAAGTATAATCGAGGGACCCAATCACATTTATTTATAACTCCTAAAACAACATTTATGCTTAAAATATACAAGAAAATATGACATCACAAATTTTTCACACATCAATTATATAAAAAACTTCGTAAAATGCTTAAAAAATCAACCACAAAATAAAAAATCTGAAATAACTAAAACTAAATAGAAACTTAATAACGATTACGGATACACAGAATTACGGTAAGTTGGAAGATTGTTGTAAAATATATCAATATTCTTATCAATGTTAGTAATTAAGTTGTAAGAGCGTGATAGCTTATTCACTGGACCATTAAAACTAGCAGACAAAATTAATTATTTCAAATTATCGCACAATAAAATTGTATGTTAAATAATATAAAACTTATTTTTAAATCTTATTAATAATTCGATTCTTACCTGATATCCTTTATATTTAATCAACTCCTTCAACCGGTCAACAATATAGAAGTACTTCTCATCATCATAGTACCCCACGTCACCAGTTTTGAAGAATCCTTCATCATCAAAGTCCTCTCTTCCTTTTCCGATATATCCCTTCATAATAGATAAACCCTTTGCATAAATCTCTCCCCTTTCATTAGATCCTAGTACTTTTTTCGTGTCCGGATCTACGATCTAAAATATTTAATTAATTTTAAAAATGTCTGCGCCTGGTCTTATCATTATTAATTTAGAATCAGAATTAATGCCTAAATTATGAATTAAAATTGCTTAATCTAATATATAAAATTCACGTGTCACAATGTTCGTTCCCATACTCCTTCGACACGGCTCGACCGATTCTTATAAAAGTTTTTATGCATATTCAGTAAGTCTGAGAATCAGCTACAGCTCTTTCAAACCCCTAAGTAATAAGGGCCGGGCCACACACTCCAAAAAAAAATGTTTAAAAAAAATCTTTGTTTTTATTTTTTTATGATACATCATACAAAAATACATACAACCCTTAATTTTCACTCCTCTACGAACATCCCCTATTTTTTATTAGTGATAGTTATTTTTATTGAACTAAAAAAATGTTTCCTAGAAATAATATGCACGGCAAAACAACGTTTGCCGGGTCAGCTAGTACATATGTATATATAAATTTTAAAAAAGCCGTGGCGCTACACCCTTTTTCGGTCTGGGTAATCTAATAAGAAAGTAAGTGATCAGCCTCCTGTGACAGACACGCGCGCCGGCGACTTTTCCTTCACGGTTCGAGCGAATGTTAAATGCGACACAGAAAGAAGCTCTATTGGTGCACTGTAGGGCATCGAACTTACGACCCTCTTACCCTTAGGTAAGAGTCACGCTGAAGCCACTAGGCCAACACTGCTTTTAATACACATATATGAGCTACAAGTATGAAAAATCTAAAAAATACCTTTAAAATTGTGTTATGATAAACAGTTCCCACGCTACCAATTTTCTCTGTATTAAGATTCATCGTTAAAAGCAGAGTAGATTCAGTCATACCATAACCTTGGAACACTCCTTGAAGATTAGGAAAACTGAAAATAATTAGAAAATATAGATGTGTAGTTGAATTATTGCGCTGCACTATTGTGTGAATTTAAAAGATCATATTATAAACACTATTGATTTAAAGATGCGTTTCTTTTTAAGGTGAAACCTTTATTAGATGGTCTCAAACTTTGTCGTCGGTGTGTTGCATGTCGCGTGACGGTCGGCCGCGGAGTAGGGATAAAGTGAAAGGCGCTCGTTATAGCAGCCAAGGCCAATATGGCGGCGCCTATAGTTCGCAGCAGCTGACCGTGTAGTGTAGGTATAGACTATTATTTAATATAATCTAAATAATTGTTATTAATATGTGTATATAATCTAAATAATTGTTATTAATATGTGTATATAATCTAAATAATTGTTATTAATTATTATATATAATAAAACTAAGTCGATAAAATGTGCGTGCCGATAAAACTTAAAAAGGAGTCCCGACACGATAAAGGGACTTATGTGGTGTGATAGCCCTTTATCCCCCCTCGAACAAGAAAGTTCCCGTTTTAATCTAAAGGGCATGTTTTTAAAGATATAAGGGACTTTCCGACCCTTCAACTTGGAAATTAAGTGCAGTGACGCCATCTGTTATCGAATATTTGAACTTCGTTCAAGACAACTATGGAGTCTATACACTCCAATAGTCATAGTCTATAGTCTCCATAGTTGTGAGCCATTGCAGCATGTGTAGTAGTGGCGCGAAATTTAAAATTCCAATTTCAATAAAATCTTAAATTTAATTTGTTGCTATAATAAAGTTATTAAATTTTGTGTATTTATACGTCATTAGCTAACTTATATTTTGGAGTTAAAGCGACATAATTTTAGTTATCCAAATTAGTTCTCAAAATATTTAAAAATTTAGGTTTTTAAATTTCGCGCCTTTACTACATACGCTACCGCTACAGAAGCTAGAAAGTTCCCGTTTTAATCTAAAGGGCGTGTTTCTAAAGATATAAGGAACTTTCCAACCCTACAACTTGGAAATTAAGTATAGTGGCGCCATCTGTTATCGAATATTTGAACTTCATTCAGGACAACGATTGTTTGGGTTGCATTTCCAAAAGCGTTGCGAGCAATTGTAGCATGTGTAGTAGTGACACGAAATTTAAAATTCCAATTTCAATAGTCTTAAATTTAATTTGTTGCTATAATAAAGTTATTAAATTTTGTGTATTTATATGTCATTAGCTAACTTATATTTTGGAGTTAAAGCGACATAATTTTAGTTATCCAAATTAGTTCTCAAAACATTAAAAAAAGTGGTTATTTCAAAGAGCAATTTTGGCCACTAAAAATAATATTGTTGACGATATCAATTTTAATATTCTAAAGAAAATACCTGGTGAAGAGAAAATATATAAATCGATCGACACGATGGTATCCATTGAAGAAAGTGTCAACTTCCCCACTGAATTTCTAAACTCTTTACAAGTACCAGGAATGCCATTACACTGCCTTCGTCTGAAAATTGGAACTCCAATCATACTACTCAGAAATCTCAACTCCCCAAAATTATGTAATGGAACTAGAATGATCGTAAAACAGCTATCGAATAATATCATTGAAGCTGAACTTATTTCTGGAAAGACCAAAGGACAGACAGTATTTATACCTAGAATACCTCTGATCTCTTCGGAATTGCCATTTCAATTTAAAAGACTGCAGTTTCCAATAAAATTAGCCTTTAGTTTTACAATTAACAAAGCGCAAGGACAAACTTTAAAATATTGTGGCATTAACCTCAAAGAATCCTGCTTCTCTCACGGTCAGCTATATGTAACTTGCTCAAGAGTAGGAAATCCGAAAAATTTATGTATAATATATACTCCGGACAATAAAATGAAAAATGTTGTTTATAAACAAGTATTGTAAATAATGAGAAAACGTTTTCAATAAACTTTTTTTTTACTTTTTACGTCATAGTTTATTTTTTTATTTCGACTCTACCACGTTATCTCATATCTACTCCCGGGCGAAGCCGGGTTTTTTTAGCTAGTATGTGTATATAATCTAAATAATTGTTATTAATATGTGTATATAATCTAAATAATTGTTATTAATATGTGTATATAATCTAAATAATTGCTAAGTATTATGTATGTCGTACTCTCTAAGACACAGAGTTCAATAAAATATTAGTTGGAGACTTAGTCTACTTTTATTATTTCCCATTATCATTGCAATTTTCCAAGTATAAAATTAAGATTGATAAAGCGATTTTTATACCCTTGATGGAATATTATTCCAAAAATTTTTAGTTAAATGTCTATAATGTGAAAAAAAGTTTCACTTTCAGCGTGGTTTCATAAAACCACACAATCCTTTTTTTAACATAGTTTGTGCCAGGCGGAGATTATTTCAGGTATTCTGCCACTCAGCAATTTTATAGTGTTTCAGTTTTATAGTATTAGGTTATCTGAATGATATTAAAATATAGGTCGAGGCGCCATCTTCATTGGCCGAGCAATGCGTGAACGCAGGACAGTTCTGTTTGAGTATTCCAGCATTGTGATTTGTGATACTAGAGGTTGGACCGAATTGGGTCTAGTAGATTGTGATTAAAACTTATATGGTTGCCTTGGACCCGCTGCTCGTTATAATTTAAGCTAAAAGTGTTATTTGTAATGTCAGGAATCAATCTAAATTAAGTACTGTACGATAATTATTCGCGTCTTTTCTGCTCGCACTTTATCCACATGACGCCATATGGGGCATGGGCAAATATATATATTTGTTTGCTCCTTTATTTCCTAAGTTTAATAAATTTTTATAAATGTCTGCATCTATGGAAGCAGTGATTGGCGTGTGTTGTGGTCAGTTTCAGGCGAATTGAATACTACTCGCTCGCCCAGCCCCTGGTCTCCACACTTGCATCAGACTTGTGTCAAAATAATAATTTCTATTCCTATGTAAAACTACTTTGAATACAACTTACATATTCTTAGCCATGTTAGCAGTCTCTTCGTACAACGGTGCAGCACCGCAAGACACAGAGATCACAGAGCTTGTGTTGTATTTCTCCTTTACTTTACTCAAAGCTACCAGTACTGGGGGAACGACGGACAAAGCTTTTACCTGTGAATACAATGAGCTCATAATTCAAGTCATTTTTACCTAAAACATTTGAAAACTATAGGAATTTTAACTGATGATATCGTGATATTTGAGAGTACTATTATTAATAGAAAATGTCCCGACGTTTGTCAAGAATTATTACGATAATTTAAGTTAAAATATCAACTTTCCACACAATTTGTTTAGTTAATGATGTAACGATGTGTTGCTTAAAACAATGGTTTTGATTTGTCCATATAAAAATGTATTGATACTTTTCCACTACGATGGCCAATTTCTGTATTATTCGTGGAAAGCATACGACTTCTGGCTCGAGTACCATGTCTAATTTATATATCTGTCGCAGCCAACTAGCTTAATTAACAGCCTAGCCTTTTAACTAAACAGCGCCGTTTAACTAGCGGCCTGAAAGATATTCAGCTGGTTGATCAAACAGCTAGGCAAATGACTAGGATCGATAACGTACATTACTTGCCTAGCCTGTTGACTGTTAATTTAAATTTAATTCCACTTTCTGCCACTCTCAAACTCGAAACGAAACTCTTCAAAATATCAATATGGCGTCGGCAAACCACAACTTTGATGGTGTTCCAAAGTTTCATGAAAAACAAGAAGTACAATGGAAGAGTGTAGTGACAATAATAATCAGAATTTGACTCAAATAGAGCAATTTAATTTTAAAAGAAATATTTTTATGTCATATGTTTCTTCTTTTTGATTTCTGCCAAATAATGACTCTATCATACGAATGGCCTAAGCATTAGCCAGCCATTTTATTAAATGTTGTAACAAACGTTACGGCTGAATATCTTTCTGGCCGCTAGTTAACGGCGCCATTTAGTTAAACGGCTAGGCTGTTAATTGACCGGCTAATTAAGCTAGTTGGCTGTGACATATCCAAAGCAACTGCATAAGCGTCTGAGCAAGATACACATTAAATTAATTTTTCAACTAAAAATTATTAACTATTTTCTCAAATCTCGCGAAATCAATCAAATTAAAAACGCTTAAAAATATTACATACCTGATACTTTTCTATAGTTTTAAAATATGTTTGTACGTCAAACTTTGGAAGGAAAACGACCTTTGACCCCAGTATTAAAGTCCTCATACCAGTAATCAAACCCATACTGTGATACCATGGTGTTATGGTTAAAATAACGGTCGGCACAGCAACCTCGAAAGGTCTGTGAAATATATTTTAAGTATTACAGTACTATTTTAAAATAAATGGTAATTCAATCAATCCTTCAAGCTTCAAAATGTTAAAAATAATTATTGTAAATACAAAGAGACGATTTGTCGAGTTGCTTACACAGTGGGTCATATCATAAATAACACTTAAATATTATAAAAGAAATAAAAATATTTTTAACGTCTGGGCCTGATATTTCTATATCTGTTTCATGATTATTTGTCAATCTAATAGGCAAGTAGGTGATCAGTCTCCTGTGCCTGACTCACGCAGTCGATGATTTTTTGTAGATTTCCTGCACCGTTCGAGCGAATGTAAAATGCGCACATAGAAAGAAAGACCATTGTTGCACAGCTGGGGATCGAATCTACGACCTCTGGGATGAGAGTCGCTGAAGCCACTAGGCCAACACTACTCAAATATTATTCACAAGGAAAAAGTTATTGAAAAAGCGATGAAAAACGCAAAATAATGTATAATTTACTGGATTAAAATGCTTTGTTTTAAAATTATTCTTATACATTTAGAACGATATTATACATATTTTTTTTTTTTAAAAGACAATTCACACCAATTGACCGAGTCCCATGCTAAGCTGGTGAAGCTTGTGTTATGGGTACTAGGCAACGGATATACATATATTATAGATAGATAGACATATAAATACATATTTAAACACCCAAGACCTAAGCACAACACCAATCGAACCCGGGACCCATGGATTCGCAGTCAGGGGTACTAACCACTAGACCAATGAGTCGTCAAAACTATATATATCGTATAACTTATATGACACTTTTTACAAGTTTCAAAGCAATCATAGCCATGGATTGACTCGTAATTCGCCAAACGTCGAAACATTGTAAATATTAATATTATCGATGTAGGGCGTATCTGCGAGACGCACAACCCATATGAGAATATGATTCTATTTTATGTATCTTTATAGTAAGAATTTCATTTATACAAGAAAATATAAGCATTTAGCATACCGAAAACAAAACTGTTTTTGTGAATATATGACAAATAATACACCATACCATTTTTAAACGATTTGTCTTTAGCCTCAAAATAGGCTTCAGTTTCGGCGATTACCTCTTCTTCAGCACAAAATTTCTGCCAAGCTAGCATTCTCTTGAGCTTTGAGAACAGGAAAATGTTGCTGGAGGCTAAATCTGGAGAATACGGTGGATTCGGAATTCATTGATTTGTGCCACGGTTGATGGTCTAAATATTACGATGTTATACTCTGTGTTGATGTTGTGCTCTGTGTCAAAACTTTAAAAAAATACTTACGTACAAGCTGTTATCACATTAAGGTGTGTCAACATAACACCTTTAGGTAGTCCTGTGGTACCAGAAGAATATAGAATTAAGGCTGTGTCCGTCTGTCCAATTACATCAGCGCAAACAAAATCCTCGAACTGAACATTCTCAGCCAACAAATTGCTAGGCTTTGCTAAATAATTGTAAGGGATTGTATTTCTTTCACTCTCGTTGCCGAAGAGAAATATTTTTTCCAGCATTTTGAAACTTTTTCCGTTCCTCTTGTATGTCAATGGCGAACAAAAGACATATTTAGGTTTTGATATTCCCAACACGTGTTTGATTTCATCTGAAAAGGACATGGATAATATTAATACATAATATGAACACATGCGCGCGTGCTGTTTTATACACGCGAAATGTCGTGTGTCGCGGACAGACCCCCTCACTCCCCGCGTCACTTTAACAAGATACCCCGGCGCGGGGGTGTGTAATTTGATTTTCCAAAAATAAAAAAAGGAAGTAAAAGTATTCTTCCGAGTAATACAACGCTTTTAGGCTTACACACGCTATTTAAATGTATTTTAATAATTTATTTTTGGGGTTCAAGTGCGCAGGCGCTGATTAAAGATTTTGGCACCTTGTACCGGTGATACCTCTAAAGCTGGTGCTTTCATCGATAAAGCAATAAGTATCGCAATACAGCGAGGAAATGCTGCGTTAAAGGTACACTGCCACAGGAAACAAACTATTTAAATTTGTTTTAATTTTCTATGTATTAATTTTTATTTATTATTATTATTACTATGTAGATTAAGAATATTGTTTGAAGAATGAAGAATATTATTTGTGTGTTGGAAAAAATATCATACTTCTCCAGTATAGAAACTGAAATGACGCAGACGTTTTGTCAGTAAAAAGCGTCTGTAAATCTGGAGTATATAAATTAACTAGAGACTCGCCCCGGCTTCGCACGGGTGCAATACAAAAAATTCAAAGTGCTATAGGGAGAACCGCGTCCTCCGAAAATATTCATTTAAATCATATGATGTAAAGGGCCATATAGATCTATATTAAATCAACAAAATATTTAAGGTATTTAATTTGGTAAGGATTAATGCTGTATTGGTTAAAATCGCTTCGAAAATTAGCCTTTATTTGTCTTAAAAAGTAAATGACAAAAAAATTGTATTGTGTGATAGCCATAAGAGATAGACATATACCATCGCGGAGTTATAAACCTTCCTCTTTAAACACTATTTTTATTAAAACCACAACAAAATCCGTTGCGTAGTTTGAAAGATTTAGGCATACGTATAGGCAGATATAGGGACAGAGAAAGCGACTTTGTTTTATACAATATTTTCCGCTCACAAACGTGTTCTTGCTTCAAACAAAGAAAAGTCAAGTTGTCTTATCAATTAAAACAAGCGTTATCATTGACAATTTGCCCAGATTAAAGTAGTAAACAATAAATGATGATAATTGAAAATGCTGATAAAGTTAGGTTCAAAGTTCTTTTCTAAAACGTCTAATTTTGGATTTTCCTTATATTGAAGTGAAACTTCTAATGCGACTTCCAACAAGGTTGCGTTAGAAGGAGACAGAGCAAGAGTGAATACGTGGTACTCGAACGTATGCGCGTAGTATATCTGTTATGGTACGTTTACACGCTTGCCAAGCCTTGGCAAACTGCAAAGAGTCCCAAGCCTCCACAAATCTCGTTTGGCGTTTGAAAGGCGTTTATACGCTTGTGAATGCGTCAGTCTGCAATATACATCCAAGCATGGCGGACACGGAACTTGTGACGTTTTTTTTTCAAGTGCTTGCGAAAAGTAGTCATCAATATCTCTTTTTTATTTTTTATTTCCTTTACTGGCCTTCCAGTAAGTTCAGCATCTTTCGGATTCCAGATGCATGGTTCCATTTGGTAATGTTCCAGAAACGAAAGACTCTCCTCATTCGACCAGCAACTCATTTTTTATTTATTTTTTGTAAAATCAAGCAAGCGTGTACTCGCCGCGAGATCACAATGGCTACTAAAGTCTAAACGCGGACCAACATGTAAATGCATCGCAAGCGCTTGCCGCAAACGCCCTTTGATCTGCGTAAAAACACCGACACTCGACTGGATCGGAAGCAAGCAGGCACAAGCCCACGCAAGCCAAGCCAAACGCCCTTTTTACATGCTTGCGATTGTCGATCCTTGCCAAGGCTTGGCAAGCGTGTAAACGTACCATTACAGGCCAGCGCCAGCGTCAACAACGAGTATCGTCCAAGATTCCAACGCAAGAGGGAGAGAGAAAGAAAGATACACAAAGGTAGAAAGTAGGAGAGAGAAAGAGAGTGAGTCGGTAGATCCCAAGAACATTGGTGGTATTCTTGCTATGGAGCGAAGTAGACAGTGTGAGCGTCGTGAAATTAGCTGAAATACGTACTTGTTACCATTTTACTGTTTTATTTTGATATTATAAGATTTCTATCGAAACTTTTTTGTTTGTACACTGGCTGAGTTTTCAAGAGCTGCTTGTTGTATATAAGATCTAGATGTGTATATATATATGTGTATAAAACCCGCGTGGTAACTAAAAGAAAGCTCTTGGGCACTAAAGCGCAGCATCCATAGCCACAGATGTTACAATAAAAATAAATAAACTGTCGCCCAAGGTACAGCTAACGAAAAAGAGGAAGACAACTTAGAAGGTGGATAGACAGAAGCGGCAGGTGGTACATGGTAGAGAATGGTACAGTGCAGGCGGGAATGTCGAGATTTCGAGGAGGACTTTGCCATAAAAGGGCACACAGATACCTACAATAAGATTTAGAAAGTCTGAAAGTATCTAAAGGCTATTATTATGATTATTATATATGTAATATTTTCATTTACTTGTAGAAAAATCGGTGTAGGTACTGTATATTTATTTATTTACAAAAGTATGTACATACTTAATAAATTAAGCCAATACGATAATGACAAAATTAAATACATGATATATACATAATATATATAACATGACGAGAATCATTTTTTTAGTTCAATAAAAATAACTATCTACTATAATAAAAAATAGGGGTTGATCATAGTGGGACGAAAATTAGGGGTTGCTGTATGCTGTATGTAATGCTGTATCATAAAAAAATAAAAACAAAAAAAATTGTCTAAAAAATAAAAAATTAAATTTTGGGGTGGATACCGCTTGTCACTTAGGGTTTTTAAAGATAAATAGTAGCGGATTCTCAGAATTCACAGAAACGAAAAAAATTCATAAGATTCGGTCGAGCCGTTTCGGAGGAGTATGGGAACGATCATTGTGACACGAGAACTTTATATATTAGGTACATAATATATACATTTAAAGATCTTGATAATTTCGGAGACAGCATTCGGAAGGCGTCTTTGTCTTTGTTTTTTGTCTTTAACGGTCCTTCGCCGTCGCAGATATCCCCTACAAAGAACACTGAAACAACAAACTTAATATAAAAAGCAATGTATATAAAATTAAATTTACCTTTAGTATACATAGTATTTATCGTAGTAACAACAGCTCCAGTACAAAAAATACCGATCGCTGTACTCCAAAATTCGCCTCTGTTCTCTGAGCATATTGCAATCACGTCTCCCTTTTTAACGCCCATACGCATGAGTGAGACAGCGATGTTTAAAGCCTCCTGCGCAATTTGCCTGAAGATGAGTGGTTCATCTGTTGAAGCATTTATCTGGAATATAAACACGATTAGTTCTATAGTGTTATATTGGTATGAAAACTGAGATTATTTGATTAATTAAAAAATCTTTTTAACTCTGTCTACATTTCATCATCGGACGCCGAGGCAGAATCCGAAATTCCACCCGTCACTTCATCATCACCTCGACGTCCTTCGTTCCACAACTGAGCGTTTTTTAAGTTGCCGCGCACTATCACTATGTAGAACCAGCTCCCACTGAAGTATTTCTGAACCAATTCGATTTAGGGCCCTTCAAGAAAATAGCGTACCAATTCTTAAAAGGCCGGCAACACACTTGCGAGCCCTCTGCCAATGAGTGTCTATGGGCCGCGGTATCACTTAACATCAGGTCCTGCCGTGTTTTGTTTTATAAAAAAAAATGTTAATTGCTACTGGCAAATATAATAAGATGAAATTCAAATTGTGATCGAAATAAAATAAGAATTTTTTCGGCCATATATATACAGTGGAATCTCGATAACTCGAATATCAAGGGAAATGCAAAAAAAATCGACTTAACAAGAACTTCATACATATGATTTAACTGTTGAAATTTCGACTTACAGAAACACGATTTCTAAGTGTATTTTTCGATTTGTAGAGTCGAATTTGAATAACAATTCAACAAAAGTTTTTTTTTGTATATATTTTTAACATATTAAAACGAGTTACATATTTATTAATTAAACTGTACCCTAAAAATGTATGAATGTATTCATTCATTGCACGTGTGCAAATCAAAAACAATAAATTAGAAGCCCCGAACCCGAACATTCACTTCAGATTTTATTGCTATTATTTCGGGGAATTCCAAGTACCTAAGACGTAATTGTATTTTACTACGACTTCCGGAGTCTCCGATTTGAAATTAGAGTTATATAGAGCATAAATATGTATTACAACTATGTACTTTTCCAGGTAGTATGTCCGACCCCAGTAACTTTAGACCAATTTCCGTACTACCTACTTGTAGTAAAATATTTGAAAAAAGTTATATTAAATCAACTGGTAAGTTTTAACGTTAACAAATTATTACATAATAATCGTTCCGTTTTAATAGGGTCGCTCGACAGCCGATGCCGGTATTGAGTTATATAGAATATAGTTAAGCATGGGAAGTCGCAGACGCTTAGGTGTTTCCTGCTTATCCAAAGCATTGGATTGTGTCCAACACGAGACCTTAATCGGGAAACTCCGCCACTATGGCATCAAGAATACCGCACTGAATCTCCTTCTGACTTCCTATTTACACGGAAGAACTCAGAAGGTTGAAGTGAATGGTAAGAGGTCCTCCCTGGGTCGGCAGTAGATATGGGGTACCACAGGGCTCAATTCTTGGCCCTTTCCTCTTTCTTGTTTATATAAATGTATCTACCTTTCAGTGGTAGCGCGAAAACATCAGATAGTTGTGTGGCGAACACGCTGATTTTTAAAATCAAACGACAAATAACAAGAATTCTGACGATGTGAACAATGCTCTGTCTGATTGTCCATTGGTTGAAGTATAATAACCTTCGACTTATGCAAAAAGACAAAATACATCAATTTTGTGCAAGGAGGTAATTATGGATACTCCGACCAATATGTGAGTGAATTGAATTGATGATACAACTGTATTTCTCGGAATCAACCTTAGGATTCAAAACTTCTGTGGTCCCCTCATATTAACGGATTGGCGAAGAGACTTAGTTTGCAACAAATTAAAAATTTTCTCCCCAACTGATGTCGATACAGCTACTTTTTATAGTCTGCTTAATGACTTTGGCTTTTGTCTCATTATTAAACTGGGGTCATCGCTAGATGTACGAAACTATTCATTCATCCTGCAGAAGAGGGCTATTCGTGCAAATCTATAATTTAAAATGTAGGGAATCTCTTAGAGATAAATTCAAGGAAATAACTTACCTTTCCCCGCAAATATATTTATGAAAATATTAGTATGTAAACAAAAATAGTGATAAGTTTACTAGAATAGAACATACGCACAATGTTAATACACGGAACAAACAGGCTGCAATTTCCCCGTACTAGACTATCTAAAGTTAGTAATTCTTTTTTTGGGAAAGGGATACTCTTCTTTAATAAAATCCCAGAGGCTCTTTTATCACTGCCTTTCAATAAATTTAAAAAATGTATTAAAGAAAAGCTGTGTAAAAGGCCTTACTATAAAGTACAACATTATCTAGTTGATAAAAGGGCCTGGGACTAGTGCTAGACAGGCTACTTCTAATCAATTTGCGATATTTGTTTTATGATTTGCTGTTTTAAAAGAGTACCGAGAGATTTTTACGCCGGCTTTTTCTCTCGGCCTACACCCTCTGTCTTCTTCTTGCCGATGAGTAGGGATGCATTCAAATTTAATGACGTGGAATAAGTGATACATGTATCTTATGTTCCATAATAAACATATTTTATTTTATTTTTTTATTTTTACTTTTAAAAAAAAATCAAAAATCTTTATTTAATAACAAGTTACATTCAGCGTTCATCCCTAACATAGGTTCTTGAACAAAAGGGTTACTAAAATATAGATTTAAGACTATTTACTTAATAAAGAAAATTATGATTAATTAAATTATGACATTTTTAACAGATATTGGAGCCCCTGAAATAAAGCTTAGGTTTCCTAGAAAAGCGTTGCCGTTAATTAACGGCCGTCATTTTACGGTTGTTAAGCTTAGGTTTCCTAGAAAAGCGGTGCCGCTAACAAACGGTTGTTAATAACGGCCGTCTTTAGTTTTTAACATAATGCAACAATACAATAATTTTCGCTCGTCCAAGTCACGTTTTCACTCATTGTATTAATTAAATATGGGCACCGCTACACGCGAAAAACGTTGAACTAATGTTTATCACCGCTATGACGGCCGTCATGAAATGACAGCACCGTTATTTGACGTTACGGTGACACAACGTTCTAACCAACGTATGGGTGACGTCACCCAATGTTACATTACGGCCGTTAGATAACGGCACCGCTTTTCTAGGAAACCTAAGCTTTAGTCTATGGAGACCTGTACATCAGGGTAGAGAAATAAGATTTTATTCGAGTTACAAAGTGTAAATAATTCGAGATACCGCATATTTATGAGCTCAGCGGAAGGGAATGGCAATTTTTTTCGACTTACTGAGGTTCAAGTTACAGAGATTCCACTGTAATTGTTATTGATTTTTTCCTTTTGTAAACGTTTGAACCTTTTGTATATATACATTATGTATTCCATCTTATCATATCTTTAGTATAATTGTTTTTTGGTATATATGTTAGCTGTAGGATTACGAAATGAATAAATATTAACTTATTCCATAATTGATAAGTGATAATGGAGGTTATCGTTCCACTTGCCTTTCTTGTCATATTAACTCACATCAATTACGAACTAACAAGATAATTAACATTTTTAGTTACGTTTTTTTTTTATGTAATAGGAGGCAAACGGGCAGGAGGCTCACCTGATGTTAAGTGATACCGCCGCCCATGGACACTCACAATGCCAGAAGGCTCGTAAGTGCGTTGCCGGCCTTTCAAGAATTGGTACGCTCTTTTCTTGAAGGACCCTAAGTCGAATTGGTTCGGAAATACTTCAGTGGGCAGCTGGTTCCACATAGTGGTGATGCGCGGCAAAAACTGCCTTAGAAAACTCTCAGTTGTGGAACGACGGACATCGAGGTGATACGGATGGAATTTTGTATTTTGCCTCGACGTCCGATGATGAAACTCAGCTGCAGGTATTAGACCGAACAACTCATCTGAACACACTCCATGGTAAATGCGGTAGAAGATGCAGAGGGACCCCACATCTCTACGCAACGCCAAGGGATCAAGCCGCACGGAAAGTGACTAGTCGTCGACGATTCGAACCGCTCTTCGTTGAATACGGTCAAGTGGAAGGAGCTGGTACTGGCGAGCTCCCGCCCAGAGGTGAGAACAGTATTCCATGTGGGGCCGAATTTGCGCTTTATAGAGTTGCAAGCGGTGGCCCCAAGTGTACCGTCTCGCCTTGCTGAGCACACCAAACTTTTTGGAGGCTAAGACCGCGAAACTGAACGTTATCGATATGTGGTGTTATCCGATTTACAATGAAAATATGTTCACAAAAACCGTAAACAATTTCCATAATTATGTAACAAATTCATTACATTATTTTGTAGCGACGATTTAGCGTAGATTATAGGTGTCGCTGACATCATACCTACCCTAAAATGCGCTAACATAATAATTGTTATTGTGTTTTCCTTTTGTTAATGTTGAACTGAAAAAAATGTTTGAACCTTTTGTATATATATATTATGTATTCCATCTTATCATATCTTTAGAATATTTGTGTTTTGGTATATATAATTTACTAGTAGCCCTTCCCGGCTTCGCACGGGCAAAATAATATAATAAAAGAAAATACACAATGTTTTACAGTGAGTTTCTAAAAAAATAACATTCATTGAAAACAAAAAACTAAGATATTATTATTGTTTTTGTCAATATATTTTCTTAAACTTTTTTTTGTATTTACATTGTTTTTTTTATATTTTATTTTTTTTTTATATACATATATTAATTTTTTACTTTTTTTTTCTTGTCATTTTTTAAAAATATTGAAGTGAAACTTCTATACGAGGTTGGAAAAAATTTACTGTAACTTTCGTAACGCGTAACATTTTCGGTTACGCGCCATGTTGATTTTTGAAGTAAAGCCTCCCTGTAAACGGTATTGGAATGAACTGGTCTTTATCACGTATGGGAGCAAATAACAAATCTCAGTTTTTCAATGCTAGTATAGGCCAATACAATTGATAAATTGTAAAATATTTCTTCGTAGTCAATCCAAGCTAAATTGAAATATTTGTACTTATGTCTATGTTAATAAAATTGTTATTGCGAAACTTTATCTAATTTAACGAATTTCTGTAAAGTTGCATTGGTAGATCATTTTTGGAATAATAAGTATCCTCATATATGAGCAAGTTGACTCAGCTTCTGGACCGGTGTACACCTAGTAGTACGCACAATTAATTTTATTTTGCTATACTAATCGTTAAAAGATCATAACCGCAAACAAAAGCCATTGTAATTTATGGAGTAAGAGTTCTCTTAAAAAAATTTGATGTGGTTTTATTTTTGGTAACAAAGTAAATTGATTTTCAGGGTACTCATCCCGCGATAGGCCAACACGTATAATTGACCATGAGTAAAACATTCCTTTGCAGATCGATCCCAACAAATTCGAACGGTTTGACCTTCGGGACTAGTTACATTGTTAATGCGAAATATATTTTTACTGATTGACGCCTGCTTTTGAACGAAAGATTGTTTAATTCGTTGGGATTATCATTCTTTGGTGACACTATATGAGCTAGTGCCACCAATAAAAGTCCTTTTCGTGGACCGGTCACAATAGTCAGTCTACTGCAATTAAATTTTCCTTCAACTCCTTATTAAGTACAACCTCGTTCCATTGCCACTATGCTGGACGAATTAAAATATTCTAAAGTTTCATTATTTTGGATTACCAATTTTTAAGGTTATTCGTGGTTGGTAACTTCCCGCTCAGAAATTGACAACACGTTCGAAAATCAAGAGTCTCTTAACAGATGTTGAACGTGTAGAGGTTCTGGAAGCCTACTAGAATGTTTACGGTGTCGTATGGACTTGAATTTTTTATAACTGAACCCTGACAATAGAAAAATAAGGATCGTTGTATTTCGTTGACAGTACATTTGGTGAAACCATTGCTCTAGGAAATTTCGCATCAACTAGTGAAAGTTCCTTTTCGATACGATCAGTTCTAGGCGTGATCAGGGCTAAACGAAGACCATTTTCCTTTTATATAATTATGGAGATTTGACCTAGAGAGACTCATCCAGAATAATGTCACTATATCCGCTTAAATTTGGAGCAGGGAAAATTCCTTCCCCAAGTTTAAGCAGTTGTTGTGGGAAATCACTGTCACTTCCATGAAGATGAGCTCTCATATTCGTCCTTAATTTTAATGTTTCAATCGAAGTCCATAAGGGAGACGATTTCAAGCATGCTTTGATGATATCTGCTCGCGTACCTCTGTTAATAACGGGGAGAGTCTGTCGGAAATCTCCAGCAAATCTCTTATTAGTATGACATTAAATTGATAATAAATATATAGCATAATATTTAAGTATGGTATCTATTTTCAAGGAATATTATGAATGTACTTTTCTTTAGCGCTTGCAAACAACCATTTTTTTAAGTGTAGTCACTAAAAAAACACCCGAAAGAGGACGTTATAAATTCGACGGATATTTAGTAACCAACCAATCAACGATTGTTAGGTTAGTTTACGTTTTATTTGTTGGATAGTTTAAGTTAAACTTATATTAATCAGTCTAAGTATGTGTAGAAACAAAACTGTCACTCAACAGAAGTTGCATTCAATAGCATTTTTTTTGTGTTATTCTCGGGTTGATAAATAATTGAATTGTATTAAATAAGGATAAATGTAATTATGAGAAATGGGATATATATAATAACTAGCGGACCCGACAGACGTTGTCCTGCATGATATTTCAAGCGATTAGGATATTAGACAAAGCATGACGGTACCGACTGCAGCGCCATCTGCCGGACTAATTTGTAAATCTACAACCAGGGCTCCACCCAAACGCATACAAAAAATCATTTAAATCGGTGCAGCCGTTTAAGAGGAGTTCAGTGACATACACACCTACAGTAGAATTATATATATATGTAAGCTATCTTTTAAAATAGATCAAACTGCACACGGTGTGCAAATTTGATTAAAATCGATTAAGTAGTTTAGGAGTCCTATAGCGGACAAACAACGTGACGCGTAATTTATATATACTAAGACTATAGTATTTTATATAATGAATTAAATATGTAATCAAGAGTTTATAAAGAAAACGGTATCCAACTGAAGGTGATTGAAGAATGAAACTATAAACAATAACCATATTTTTACTATAAATAAATAACTTTAATATCATTCACTATAGTAGTTACATTTAAAAATATTTGCTATAAAGTAGTAAGTATCGAACTTTTTAATTTATCTTGAAGACGGTAAGACGCGTAATAATAAACCTTTAATCTATGGTTCTTTTTACGTACTTCAACGTACACAAAAATAACAAAAAACCTACGTAACGGCAAGACCGGACATTAGAGTGTGGTAACTAGAGACCGCAGTAGTCTGAAACTCTAAAGTGATATCTACAACGGATGTATACAAACAAATCAAAACATACCATAGCAACATTATCCTTATGTTCCCAAATTTTCTTTAAAACATATTCTCCGAAATGGAGCGTTGCGAGAATCTGTCGATCGCTCTCCCCGTACACATATTTTGGATTTTTTAACATTTTTATGCAGTGATGCGCACGATCGGCCTGCTTTGTGGCCAATTACCGACTGAACTGGTATTACAAGTGGTGAATACTGAATATGCGTAATGATAAACAAGCATTAAGATAAATATATCTAATGACGTCGCATTAAGTACACAATATATAAAATAACACTTTGTATAGTATTTAAAAAAAATTGCAAAACTTAAAAAGTTTTTATAGGTACATAAATGGTATATTTTAATGACAATAGAGGCCGTGTACTTTATGCAAAATAAATAACAATATCTTCATTTATTTATCATATCGTGAATTCCAATTATTTAAAGTGTTAATCGCGCTCTCTAGCGAAGTAAAGGATAACTAGCTTGGTTTGACTTAGTATAACATTTGTTTAAAGTAAACACTAGATGGCATGTAACAGTAATAAAGGTGATTATTAAAAACAAAAATCACTAATTAATAAATAAATAAAAACCTATTATAAAAATTAAAAAAAAATTAAATTATTCCTTTTGTATTCTCAATATTTTTACATTCTAAAACGCGCTATCAGAGTTATTTGATACTTTAACGTTATATACAACAAAAATTTATAAGATGTTGTACTCGCTTCGGCAGTACATATACTAAAATTGGAACGATACAGAGAAGATTAGCATGGCCCCTGCGCAAGGATGACACGCAAAATCGTGAAGCGTTCCACATTTTTTGAGACTTTTTTTAGTAATTAATACCAAACCACTTAAGAGTTTAGCCGTACTATACTATACTTCACTCATTTTAGCATTAAACCTTGCGTACAGAACAAACATTTAAAATAACAATAGCGTATCTTCTTAAAGCCACCATTAACCTTCATTGGAGTTGGTTGGTTAATAAATGATAATGTGTACCGTGTATGAAAATGGTCTTCGTGATAAAACGTGATCTGACATCTTGATGATTCTCATACAAATTCCTTTGGCAGGAGAGGATCTCTTGGATGCCATAAGACAATAGAGTCTTCGTTGTCGGGAATAGTGCTTTTACGCACCAGTGGCTTGGGATGTGTTTAATCAAAGTGGCGTTAGGCCGCCAGTTTCATCCATTGCGAGATTGTAGGGAGCGTCATTAGGGGATTTTTATGGTGGACATTGTACTATATATGCTCCATTCTGTTCATGATTTTTATGAATCACATCGTCGTCTTTGTTGAGTGATAGTCTGTTCTTGGACCGTGTTCCCCTATGGGAATTGGGAAACAAAGGAAGGGTGCTTTGCTGAAAGGTGTGTTTCGTATAATAAAATCCTATCACCTAACCTATTAAGTATATATATTAAGTAAGATAATAGAAATAATTATTGCGATCTACGTGGAATTCATTTTTATTTTTGCATAAAGACTTTTGTATAATATTATGTTGCTCGGGAGCAGTCGGCAGTGTCATTGTCAGACGTCAGCTTTCATTGCTGAGGTAACCACTAAGCAGTTAGGTGTCACTCGTGAACATTGAAATTTGAATGTGAATTGAGATGCAAGCTGTCAAATTCTGATTGTTGTGTTGTGATGAATGATATTTTGTTTAATTAATTTTTATGCTTGTGACTTTAAATTTTGTAAGAAAAATATTTAAATTAAATTCACAAAAAGTGTATAATATCAGTGCTATTTCAACTATCAGATCGTCATATACAGACAATCGAATACATGTGGCTATACCTAGATAAATATTTTTTCGTGAAATGTTGATAATTATTTACCACATTGAGTGTCGATTTCGCACACGGACGTTTATTACTTCTAACGCTTATCTGAATTAATTAGAAAAACGTGTACAATGCGTGTAAACTTACGCAAATTTTTAATTATCGGCATATGTGTAATATGTGCTTGGCTTCTGTTTTCATACACTACTTATATACTTTCATATTTTTCGGTTCCTAAAGACAGTTCTAAAAAATCATTAGTTGAATTGGAAACTAAACTGGAGAAATTACAAAAACAGTTAGATAATGATGTGAGTTGGGGTAACAAGTTATTAAATAAAATGAAAAATCATTTGAAAAAGCAAAACGAAAAACAATTTGTGGCTGAACAGGATAGTAGTATTGACATTAAAAGTAAGTATATTTTTATTTTAATGCAATGAAAACTAGGGTTTATCAAAACTGGTACTCCAATTTCGAGTCATTTAATTGTACATGATCTCTTTCATACAAGAATTCATGATTTTCTATTTAAGGCATTGCACATTTAAAGTGTTTGTTATATGGCTATTTTTCATAATTGCCCGTTGGTAAACAGACCTGATCGTGCTAAAATGAAACAAATATTGATAAGATGTGTACATTACTATCAATAACAAATTTAGATTTGGGTACTCAAAACTATTTTATCACTGTAACACCACATTGCCCCAATTATATTTCATATTATCACATTACCACTATCTTGATCCTCAACTGCAGCATAGGGCATAAGTATTTTTATTTAATACATATAATGACGACATTTATCTAAATATATGTACAGGTTTAGTAAGCATTTTTATACTGCTTTTTGGTATTTATAACTTTATTTAAATAGTATATGTATACAATTATAATATATAGTTTTCATTCATGCACAGAGTGTTATAATTAGAGGCTGTGGAATTACATAAAATACATACTTAAATATTTCATCAGTTTGTATCAGTCATCAGTTGGTTTCGTCAGTATGTATCAGTTAAAAAATGTTTGTACATTCAATAGCTTTATCATAAATAGTTTTCAATTTTTTTAATTATCAATGTTATGTATAGGTATTATAAATATTATCTATTTATATGGGGTGATATTTATTAATCAATTGAAGAGATAACATGCGGTAGATACTTTATATCTATCTAGATTAGATATTACCAAAACTAAAATGTTTTTGGTTTATTAATATCATCTTCCTGCTGAATTATTATTGATCAATGCATCTTTTTTACTATTGTTGGGTTTTTAAAATAACTTGCTACTTGCCAGTCCTTATTATTTTAATGTTTGCAGTATTTGAAAGATGTATGTCACCAACCATATAATCTATCTCTAACCTAAACTTTTAGCCTATTACTATTAGACTGACAATACTGACAATAATGCTTACAAAATAAGCACTTTACACATCCTTAGAAACAATGCTATTGTTTTACTATTCAATTAATCAAAATTTACTCGGAATTTAACTAAGGAAATTACAATATAAACTTCCCTTGATTGTGTTTATATTTTGCTATATCCATGACTCTGTACAGTTATCATATACCTGCATTAATGGGTTTAAAATTTATGAGAGAGACAAGTAATCTGGTCTCTAATTTTGTAGAGGAGTGTAGTAATATAATTAGCACTATATGTAGTTTGTTATATCATATATGTTAATAGATTAGTCCATCATCAAATTGAATGTTTGCACATCTGTTTCAAATATGCCTAATATTTTATGAAAACATTTCTGTATAAATGTTCTAAAATCCACTTTCTTACATTACCTTTGCAGTTTATCACCTCAATATGTTACCATTTTCATTATTCATAGAGATAAGAAATAAATTATCAGAAAAAGTAATAAGTTAATTGTTCTATAGTTATTGATAAAAACCATTGAAATTTGCTACATTTTTCACCTGTTTAAATAAAAGATGTTTACAAATAAATTTATACTGAATTGCAAAACATGATTCTAATGAGTAGCTTTTACTATAAAGTTATTGCTATACAGTTTGTATGAAATAGTGTGGTACAGGTACTGGAAATTCCTGAAATACCGAATTTCAAGTATTCTTCGCCCATAAACTATTTATTTGTTACTTTTCCTCATGATCTTTATTAAAATGTATTTACCTCACAAAACAACATTCACAAGCTGCAGGGTTTCTCTATAAATCGGGTAGCGATTATTAATGATAAGTTCAATCAGCTGGAATTAGAAAAAATAATTATGTCATATCAGTCCATGTAGTTATTTCAACTTGAAATTACGTGGTGCGAAAACTAATTATTGAAATAGCTATCCAGGTTACAGAGTAAGCCTTCACGTAGTAGCCACACGACTTTTTAATAGGTGCCTTTATTCCCTTCGATTTGAGTTTTTTGAATTTATCCAAAGAATGTTATCACAAATATAATAATTCACACAAAATTCAATGTGAAAATTTTCTATGGCGTTTGCTAATTAAAGTGTACACACGTGTACAAAACAATCAAATCGTAATCGTCCTATTTACCCAATAAATTTTTCTTATTTAGTTTTAGCTGGGTAGAGATGAATTATTAAAGTATGTACTACATACTTACATAGAACTTCTATATACAAAAGCGAATTTGTTACAGTAATTACGTAATATTTAACTGTGAATAAATAACTTGACGTTTCGAGTGCTTTACAGTAGTAATGGTCAGCGAAACTGATTAGATTAATTATTGAAGTTATACTTCTTTTGCCGCGTTCGGGAGAAATTATGACAGTCTCAGTCACAATAAACCGACACCCTGAAGCTAGCTATAGTCAACATTTTAGTGTTTTCTACAAACGTAGAATACAATTTTTGAAAAAGAAGAAGATTTTTGACAAAGAAGTATAACGTCTAACACGTTTCATATATATAATATTATTTTTTTTTCAGGTTTAAATCCAATCCTTCCAGTATTAGTGATTGCTTGTGACAGAATAACGGTGAAGCGGTGTTTAGATAATTTAGTTAAATTTAGACCGGATAAAGAAACTTTCCCAATTATAGTTAGTCAGGTATGTTACACAATTTTAAATGAAAAAAAATTAAAATCACCTTTTTTTGTTTTTTTTATTGAGCGGGGCTACAACCCTATATGTGCCCCTCAAAGTCTATCAATTATCTTCGCTAAGTATGTTCTTATTTTATACAGAATCCTTGATTATTGAGTCTTATCGTGTTGAGGCTAAGCCTTGTGAAACTAACACTTAGACCCTGTTTCTTCTCGGTATAAGCGAAAATGTGGAAAAGAAAAATTCATTAGCACAGCTGGGATCGAATACACGACTTCAAAGTTGAATTCAATACAGACAATAAATTATATAAATATATTAATAAGAATATAAATTTAAAACCTGAAGTGTTACGCCCGTTAACGTTTGTCTGATCTAGAAAATCATCTCTATAGTAGATTATATTTAAAGAAAGATACAGTGACGAGACCTGTGGTCCTAGCCAAAATGGCAAAATTTATTTATTGATTCTTATTAATGCAATGTTATGTTCATATAAATTTTAATAAATTAAGAAATGATTAGGGACGATTAATTGTAATTTATTTCATGTATTATATATTTATTTATGTTCTGTCTAAAGAAAAATGATCACAAATTCCAGGATTGCGGTCACAACGCGACGTACCAAATGATAAAGTCCTACACAGATTTGGACCCAACGATATCGGTGGTGCAGCAGCCGGACCTCTCAGAAATACCGCTGACACGAGCGAAAGCTAAATTCAAAGGGTATTTTAAAATTGCGCGCCATTACCGATTCGCATTGAATTACATATTCCGACATTTGGGACACGAGGCTGTGATTATTGTTGAAGGTAATAAACTCAGAGTATATGTCGGAGTATAAAATTATAGTATAATATGTCGGAGCAATGGCGATGGTATCAGCTTCCATTGTAATTATAATTTAATAACGTCAAAGTCAAATTAGTTGAAAACTTTTCCGTGGTTTATTGGATTTGCCAATATTAATAGATCTACAAATTAACAGACTATTTGATAGTCTGTAGTAATATCAAATCTTTATTTTTAATGTACGAGCAATGGTGTTAGTGTCAGCTGTCATTGTCATTATAATTTTTTTTTTAATGGCTTTTATTTGTGCCAACTGGGCACAAGGTACTTCGCCAGTGTCGTGTAGATGGAGAAGGCACGAAGGAGATTGATCGGTGAAAATAATAATTTAAAAAAGGTTGAAATTCGATTGTTAGTTTTAAGACAGCATAGACAACACAAATATAAGTAATAACATTATTAAATACCTACTATTTCCTATTTACGAATAATTTATATACATATATATTACACTTTAATTTTATTGCTTTCTACATATTTACATAAAAATCTACAATATGGGCTAAACAATAATAATTTAATAACATCAAAGTCAAATAAGTCAAAACCGTTAAGTAGTTTATTTATTTTGATTTTTTTGGAAATAATTATATACAAACATGACAGCAGAACGAAGTAGATAATACAAAATATTAGGAGAGAAATGTTTTTTTTTATTTATTCCTAAACGTGGAGTTCGAATAGAAGTCAACGTCAATATCTAGTCGATAATCTGTAAATAATTTATTTTAAATTTTTCTACCCTATTCACCCAGGGTTATTGAGTAATTTTTTTTACAGATGATTTGGATATATCACCGGACTTTTTTGAATATTTTCTCGGGACCTATCCGTTATTATTAAGAGATCCAAGTATATGGTGAGTTGACCTACCTTACATTACAACACACACAACCCCCCCCTTGTGCTAATTTAGTACCGTTAACTGTTTTTAATGGATAGGCGACTCTAAAAACAAAGTTTTCAAAATAAATAAAAAAGTTTAATCTCTTCCTCATCTTGGAATATACCTAATTTAAAAAAAAAGAAATAGATATGACTTAGTTTTTGAAATTCGTAGACAAATATACATACACTCAGAAGCTACAAGTATCAAATTCCACAAACAAAAACCCCATTGGCGATACAACCTCTTCAGGTCTGGGCCTCAGATCTCTGTATCTATTTCATTATCAATTGTCAATCTATTAGGCAAGTAGGTGAACAGCCTGATGCTGACAAGCCGTAGACTTTTTGGGTCTCCAACAATGCTCCCATCAAGTTCTACATACGTTTATTAGTCTGTAATTTGTGAAGTCGGTGTAGAAATGTAAAATCCAAGAAATGTTTTCAGGTGTATATCAGCATGGAACGACAATGGAAAGAAGGAATTGATAGATATAAATCGTCCAGAACTCCTTCATAGAACTGATTTCTTCCCGGGACTGGGCTGGATATTGAGGAGTGAGACCTGGGACCAGTTGGAAACTAAATGGCCTGAGGCGTAAGTTTAAAATTTTTGGATTAGGCTTGTGATGTAAGTGATTCACTGCCAGAACAAGCGATTGCGTTGCCGGTCTTTAAATATTCACGTTTTTAAACAATTAAAGACAGTAGATACATAGCTCGGACCAAAGTGTTTCATTTATTTGAACATTCCTCCAACAACCGCCGCCGAACTTAACTCACGCTAATATAATATTATTTATTTTCAGTTTTTTTGACGACTGGCTCAGGGATCCGCGGAATACCGAAGGTCGTTCGTGTATCAGACCCGAAGTGTCAAGGACTTACTCGTTTGGAAAGGTATTTCATTCGTTTATTAAAATATAGCAGTCTAAATACAGACAAAAAACAAAATAAAATGTCTTCTATTGGAGCATTTTTTTCGTTTGACAATAAAAATCAGTTGAGCATGACGTACAAGTTCGGCTCTATACGTATACATCGAGACCAAATAACGTCAATAAGAATGATACATTTATTGGCCTTTTCATAATATTCCATTTAGTGGGTTTAGATGCTGCAGGTATTGAGTATCTTTGTGAGAGGCTGGTGCCATAATAGGACTGTAGAAGCCACCAGTCTTCCATCGCGGACAGAAAATATACAAAAAATAACATATATGACTGAACTAAAGTAATAAACAAAATTAATTTAAAGCATGAGTGGTTGTGAGCGTGTAATGTGTAAGGGGCCGTTCAAGTAGTACGTAAGCACTGTAGGGGGAGGGGGGTCTTTGATTTTCATATTTGGTGACTACGTCAACAGTAATTATTTACTTTTTTACACATTTTACCCACACATTGTCTATGCTTGAATATTCGAGGATTCCTACAAAAAATTAATACGTTTATGTATTATTTTTGAGAGCTTTGCTTACTTTTGTTGACAAGAGGAAATGGGGGAATAAATTGTAAATCTGCTTACAATCTACCTCAAATGGCTATGCATAACAAAATTTCTGTTGCATCGTAATCAAGGTTTTTTAGAAATTAAGAAACAGATTTTTTTATTTTATATTTTGACTGTAAATACTTACTTATTGTACAAAAATGGTCCACGAAAGTCGAAGAAGTTTGCGAGTGTTGTGAGTGAGAGAAGGCTAATAAATGGATTACCTGGTCAGTTATTAGATAGCTTATAATTGACCAGGATAGAGGAAGATAACCAACATAAACAAAATTAAGGAATTATTTTTATAGGCATTTGTCGCGCTCTTAACATGACTGCTATTGTTACATTAATACAAACTACAGTGGTTTACAAATGTAAGATATCTTGATTTAGAATTTATTATTCTGTAAAATAAATGCTAATAATAGCTTCTAATCTATTTTTTACTAGCTTCAGTCAATAGTTTCGCCAATGTGAGTTTATTTTGGCGATGCTTTGCAAAAAAATTTCATTTTTCAGTCAGACGGCTCATTGGTCTAGTGGTTAGTACCCCTGACTGGGAATCCATGGGTCCCGGGTTCGATCCCCGGCTGAGACGATCATCGATGTGATGAGCATTTGGTGTTGTGCTTAGGTCTTGGGTGTTTAAATATGTATTTATATGTCTATCTATCTATGTATGTATATCCGTGTATATTTTTGTAGGCCGCATCTCATTTAACAGCAGGATTGTGCCTAAATGTCTGTCTAGTACTGTATAAAAAAAACAGATTAACTCAATTCATAAAAACTGAAACAGTCTAATTGCACTCTTAAAATGACTCCCGTCTCTTTCTATCAAATTGTGTTTACGCTGTGATGAAAGGAGATACTGAGCACATTTAACAGTATAATTAGAATTAAAATACAAATATTTCAGAAAACAAAAACTTTTCAAAAACACAATGTTGTCTTAGGAAAATGTATGAATTTTAAGATATCCTTAAATATTTTCTTTTCGTGTAAACAGGTTGGAGTGAGCAAAGGTCTATTCTTCGACCTCCACTTGCGATATATGCAGCTTAATGGCGAATTTGTCGAATTCACAAAATTGAACCTCACTTATCTCATCAAAGTAAGTAAAAATTATATATAAAGTAAGTAAACAGATAGGAATCTCATAGGAAATAGACATATATCCCTTTCATTGATCGCTTCGTACTGTCATGTCTATATGTATTTGCTTATTTATGGAGGCTCACCTGATATTAACTGATACCGCCCATGAACACTCCATTGCCAGAAGGCTCGCAAGTGCGTTGCCGGCCTTTTAAGGATCTCTTCGAGGACTCGAGAAAGACGCTCTTTTCTTGAACGACCCTAAGTCGAATTGGTTAGGAAATACTTCAGTGTGTATGTAAATAATGCTAGGTACCTGATTGATTAATGAACTTGATTAATTTGGATTTTGTAATAAATGATGATGATTTTTCCAATCAGGTGTAAGAAACAAAAATAGTTTGTTTAGACATATTCCTTATAGTTATTTATTTTTCAAATATGTCTCGGCCTCATTTCTGTATCTGTTTTATAATCATTTTTCAATGTAAGGGAGCGTTCAAGTATTACGTAACGAATTTCTTCCTACGTTACGATGCGGGCGGGGATTGAATGTGTTAATATTATTTTCGACTTTCCAGTACTTTACACATTATTCAAAAACCCAAATGCCATCTCAATAAAAGTAACGCTCGAAAGTGTCCCAAACACTATTTCTGTCTCTTTCTTAAGTTACAAGCATATATTATTGCAAAATCAACCTTACGCAATTGTTTAAGGTTGTTATTACAACCATGTACTTAAAGCAATAAAATTTTACGACCACCTGGTCGGTAGGACAAGTATTAGTGAGTCGAACATGACTTTTTATTTACAACTATTTAACAGAATTTTAAATTTATCCCACGTTTCGCGTGCTTTACAGCGTGCGTGGTCACGGTGACTGAAGACAAAATGTGTTGGATGTTAAATAGTTGTAAATTTATAATAATACATAACTTTAATCCGGTTAAAAAGTTTTTTCTTTAAATTAAAAAAAAATTAAATTGGCTACCTCCTACCTACACTTTATATAACGTAAATATATTTGTCAAAAACTACACACAAAAAAAGGGTGCGTGTACTTATGTACGCGCGTAAGAAGTTATACTTCTTTGGCATTATTAAAAATAGTTTTTGTTTGCATGCAAATAATTAATTACAATTAAATAATCAAAGACTGGAAAAGGAGTCATTAAAGTCAATGTTCAGTTTACATTTGAAAAATTAATTAAATAAATATTTATTATTATTCTCTTACATTAAAAAATAAAACTATTTATCTTTAAAACATTTTTATTTCATTATACTATTTATTTTTAAGTGACTCTAATGTTTCATCAGAATTTCGGTTTGTAATTTTAAATTAATCATTACTTGGTTGTCATCTACAGGCTTCTCCACTACTTCTTTCTCAACAAATAAGAGAATATTAATTTAAGCTCTTCCATCAAACTTAAATTTTTTATAATTCATATTATAAATTTTTAACACATTTATATTAATATAATTATATAAATGTGTTAATAATATAATTTGTACACATCTACAGACCTATACAACTTTCTTTTATTCTATTTAGAGATAGAGATAATTTAAATATAATACCGGTGTCTTCCTTGTAGGTTTCTTTGGAGTTGTTTGGGGATTCTTTTTTCAGTTCGACATGATTTTCTTTAACCTTTCTTTAATCCTACAAAATAATGAAATTGTTAAGTTATGTTGTCACTGTTTCACACCTTTGTTTGGCTTTTTTAGTATTCAAGTTATGTCAAAACTATTTATTACCTTTCATTGTTGGCTTTATTTGCTTTTGGGATATCAATTGTTTCCAAAATGATTTTATTTGTAATAACCTAAATATATAAATAACATCTATTAATTTAAGTATCATGGTGAGTGGTTCGCACTCAGGTATTAAGGTGTATTATACCCACTTCCATTATAAGTGGGAATGGGCTCACTTCTCAGAAGAGTTTCGGTCTCAATCAACATGGATGTTTTGAGGTATTACAATATCTCTAACTACCCTTAGGGAATAAAGTAATGTTGTAACATATCCTATCTTAAAGGTTAACCTTATCCCTTTATTTATATTAACATTCCTACCCACACCATCACAATCAAATTCATTAAATTATTCAAACCATTTTCTCAAAGATGCTTTTCACTATTTTATTTTCACGGCGATAAATGACAACTCTTTTTTGTATTCAATTTATCATTCACTATTCATAATTTTTTTTGTTCTTGTCTTATTTTCTAGATTAAATCTGATGTTTTGATTAAATAATGTGGTCATTTTTTGAGATGCATACTTATTAAAATGTTTACTTCTCTTTTATCTAAGCCTTATTTTCTCCTTATTGTATTCGTCTTAAATCTTTTTCTCAATTATTGATATATAGGTCGTAAATATTTCTAAAAAGTTCTTAACAAACCAATAAACAAAAGCAATGAATAATTTCATGTTTCAGTTTTAATCAACATATACTCATATACATACATATTACCTCAATTGTATTAAGCACTAGAAGTACAATTTTTCACAAATATTTTATATTTTTCACAAATATTTTGTATAATGAAAATCTAGGTATATAATTATTAATTTTAAACAATAATTAAAACTCCTATATTTGTTTAAAAGGTAAATGTCATTGTCAGATGTCAATTGTCATGGTCATTAAAATTCTTGTTAATGCTAATAGAATATGCGTGAAGTTAGCTTCACCATATTCTATTTCTTTTACTTTAGTTTGTCTTATTCCCATCTCCTCCCACCTATATCACACTCCAATTTTTTCATAGGTCCCCAATCTAAAATTTCACTCTCATCAATTTTTCATAACCGCCTAAAGAAGTACAACTTCAAAAAGTTCAAAAGTACATAAATTTATTTATAAAAAAATACAAACAAATAAATAACATCGACTCCACTTATTAGAACAGGGTCATTTTTATAATGCGACTAAAGTAAAAAGAAGACTTAATGCTTGTTCTAACACTGAACAACAGCCATTAAGTTGGCCGTATAGAAGTTTGTGCGTTGAATGAAGTTTTTAGAAAAAATAAATAAAAATCACACATTGCTTGTTATAATCAGTCATAAAAACAACAAAAACTAGTCAATAAAGTTTTTACTTACCGAAAATACGATATCCCATCCTTTTTTAGCCTTCTTGACGTAATATTTTTACAATTTCTCACAGAACACTTTGACATTTTTGACAACTGCTCCCAACCGAGCACCGCTATTTGAAGAGGCCATAAGAATGTTGCGCATTTTTTGAGACTTTTTAGACTTATTGTGCATCTTGGGTTTTTGTATATCAATGACTTTACACCACATAATGGTAACTTTTACTATACTTGGGTACATAAAAACGTTACGGCGCGTGACATGGGGGGGGGCGACAATAATCTCCAAAATTGCATGACGTAATACTTGTAGGCAAGTAGATGATCAGCCTCCTGTGCATGGCACACGCCATCGACTTTTTGGATCTAAGGCAAGCCGGTTTCCTCACGATATTTTACTTCACCGTTCAAGCTAATGTTAAATGCGCATAGTCAGAAAGTCCATTGGCACAGCCGGGGATCGAACCTACGACCTCAGGGATAAGAGTCGCACGCTCAGCCACTTTAATATAAGTAATATTTAATAGTTACTAATATTCATTCGTTCAATTGTTGTGCAACTATTACAATTTAAATGTAGTTTAATAGCGACTAAATGAAACTAATTTTATAATTTTTGTGTTACTAAACATACAATAAATAACTAAATATATTTTTACCTCAGAAGAGTTGTAGTACCACGCCACACGATGCCTCTAGTGATGTCTGCGCGGTAACGCGAACAATTTATAATAAGTTTTTTTTTTTTATAAATGTTTAATTAGCAATAACATTAAGTCTGCTCATCAAAAATCAGTTAAGCTTTCATTTTTGTTATTTTAGGACGTATACGACGACAACCTAACATCACTGGTTGCGTCACTGCCGGAGTCCACAGCCGAGGATGTGATAATGGGCTATGGGACTGGTCCAGTTCGGGTCTTGTACAGTAACGCTAAGAGTTACCAGCGAGCTGCTAAGAAACTTGGGTTGATGGACGATTTTAGGGTATGTCTTTTTAAGTTTTTTACGTAAAAGAGGTTTTTATAAGGGTATTATTATTTATTGTATATTTATATCAAAATTTGTTTCAGAGCGGAATACCTCGGACGGCTTACCGTGGTATTGTGACATGTTTTATTAAAGGACGTCGTGTATATTTGGCCCCGAGCTATGAATGGACAAAATACGACCCCAATTGGGGCTAACACTGGTAACGGCTCATCATTTATTGATAAAATGATCTATTGAGCCTTTTAAACTTAAATGTATATCAGAATATACAGGCCAATCAAATGTGTCAGGAACTTAATAGTACAGTGTGATGATGGACCACTTCCGGAAATAATCGCGGGTTATTTGGAAATTGTATTTTATAAAAATTGTTTTTTTTAAATTTATGCATTTTTTTAAATAACATTCCATCAAGCTATTTAAATGAAGTATTGTTTTAACTACATTACATTCGCGTTAGAATGACGTTCACGTCATGTACTGTTTATGTCATGATTCGAGCAGCTGACATTTAAATTTGTATCGCCATGTTATGACATATAACTTACTCTGTGGAAGTCCTAGTTTAATTTCCAGTAAATCTAGATACCAGGCCATAATCTCAAAAAATTTCCAGTAGTCTGGTGTAAACAAACGCAGAAATGCCTGTCCTTGTCAAACACATCTCAGGTCTGTTTGTAGTAAATAAATTTTATATGAATAGGACTTTTGTTCTAGAATTAATTATAATATAATATGTACAATTTGATTTTTTTCTGTTTACATTTTGATTTTCTAATTTGCTTGGCTTTCAAAAGCAAACATAAAAAAATATCCTTATTGTTTATGGTAAATAAAAGCTACTCCTGAATAGTTATAATGCACCAAAAACCATGAAATGCCAGAATGCATTTTTAAATGTTAAACATACTGTTAAGTAATTAATAAAGCAATCCTTTGACGATTTACTAAATGTATATTAATATAATAAAGACTGTGATGTGTATTGTATATAAATAAATAATATATTGCATTTTAATTTTAAAGCGGGCTAGTTGTCAAAACTATATTTACATACTGTAGATATTCTCATTTGTAATATAATATACAAACTGAATATGTATAAAATATGTGTATAATGAAATTCAATTTAAGATTATCTGTGACGTGAAGGATTTGATTTTGTAAAAAAGGTTTTATTTTTATTTATTGTAGTTCATATAACAAGGCTGTATATGTCTGCTAATTCACCATTATAAAATAGTTTTATCTGATTTGTATTTTGCGTCTAAAATCAGTATTTTGTGATGTTATTTTTTTTTATTCCTAGTACAAATTTTCCTTTCTAGTACTTAAAATTGTTTCTTATATTGTTGTCTATCTATTGTGTTAAATTGCAGTGGGTAAAAATGAGATTCATGTTTTTTCACCTAACTGTAAATATTGTTTTTTTGAAATATACCTAATTTGATAACTACTTGCACTTTTCTTCTTTCTTTTCTAACATGATTTACTAGGAAAAACCCTTCCTAAAATTACTATCAAATTTGTCAATACATATTTGTTTGATTTACTTTTGTATAAAATATCTCAATGTAAACAGCTTTATAAGCCTTTCATAGTCCGTTTCTTTTAGCCAGAATTATATATTGTATCATAAAAATACATTTTCCAAAAATAGGCCATCAATCTAAACATAATTAAATTTACAGTATGATGTACTTTGCAAAACAAAATTATTTAGGTAAAAAATACCACAGAAAATTAAAAAACTAGCTATATTGTAAGGCATTTAAAAAATAAACTAGATTAATGAAACTTTATTCAACACAATTATCCAGGGGGCCAGTGCATCTGCCTTCCTCCTAGGATATGCACATGCAAATGGTATACACTCTGTGCACCATTTTTGCCGTCATTGATGACAAGTCGGAATCCAGCTTTGTCAAGGCCTTCCTGAGCAGCAACTTTACGCGCCGTTGTCAGGAGATGACCTGACAATAAACAATACTTATTATAGTTATTGCAATGAGACTAGTTAAGATGCTTTTTTTTAAACTAGCTTTATATTAATGCTAAATCTGAAATGACATTTCATACCAAAAAGCCTTAAATTAAGATTGAATGTTACAAAGAAACAATATTCCTTTTAAGGTTGGCTCGACTTTGAAGCCAAACTGCCTGCCTGCTTTAAATAATTAGTACAAAATTACCAAGTAGTTGCTCATCACTATCTTCAGCCTGTGACAGCTGCGTGATTGGTTTTCGGGGAATAACTAGTATGTGTGTGGGTGCCTGCGGGTTCACATCGTGGAATGCTACACACTGTCAAAAAAGGCTATTATAAAAGTACTGAATTCACACAATTCAAACAGTGTTTGCCTAGTGGCTTCCGACTCTCCCGTAGATGAGATGTATATAGTATTATGTTGATCTCCCGGAGATCGTAGGTTCGAATTCCGGGTGTGCACCAATGCACGTTCTATCTATGTGAGCATTTAACACTCATTCGAACAGTGAAGGAAAACAATTAAGGAAACCGGCACGCCTAAGACCCAAAAAGTCCTTTATCAAAATAGAAAAACAAAAGATCAAGGCACAGAAATCTCAGGTTAAAGTATTAAAAAAAGGTTGTATCGTCACTGGTTATTTAATTCACAGATTACACACTGGATGTTAGGCGAATAAATGACACGTTGTTTTACTTTAGTTTTATTTTAATAAGAAAACTCTAGAATGTTAATATGTTATGAATGTCTTTTCCAAATAGATTTTACACTGAACTGAAAGAACGCAAAGTATTATATATGTACCTGATCATCTTCATAAACAATTTTGGCAGGGATTTCCTTTCTCAAAATCTTTCCAAATATAGTATCGCCCCCAGGAGCTGCAGTTTTAGCAAGTTCTACTTCGCCGGCCATTTTATTTTTAAAATCTGTATGACTATATCGCTTATCAGCTATGTAAAAGACTTAAAGAGAAAATAATCCTTGACATTTGACAATTGATATATCTTACATAAATATTGCGATGATGATGATATTAATTTATCCCTAGTGGGAAAGGCAATAAATATGGCGATTATGATGACATTTTTCTTCGAACAGAATACAGATAGGTACAATACAGATTGTTTAACGACATACGCCGGCCGCCGCTTTCTAGCCTTCGTCAATGTTGGAGCCAACAGGCATCGCAAGAGACGATGGCAAGCGGCTGGATAGGATGATGTTGATCCTTTGGAAGATGGGACACGTTTGCCCCGTCTCACCTCCTCCGGACTAGAAAAAAAGCTGGGGCGGCCGCAGAGTAGGCAGAAACTAATAAACGGCACAAATATAAAAGTCTTTCCTCCACCTTAGATTTTGTTCCCTTTGGAGTAGAGAATCTTGGGCCGAGGGGTTCAACGTGCACAGGCGCATATTAAAGATTTAAGTTGGCGCCTGGTAGATAGTACCGGTGAATGGTGACCCCAGAGCTAGTGCTTTCCTGGGTCAACAAATAAGTATCGAGCTAGGAAATGCTGCCAGCGTACACTACATACTACACTGCCACAATGACCAAACTTTTAAAATTTGTTTTAATTTTCTTTTTAATAATTTTTAATTAATTAAAAAACATATTTTGTTGTGTTGTTTAAAAATTGTAAATACTAATTATAGGTAAATATAAAGTTCAAAAAAAGAGTATGTAAATCTCTGTCAAGAAGTCAAAAAATCTTTCTACTTTCTAGCTTGTGCCCTGTGCGATGTGTCAATTGCCAAAAGCAGAAGTTTCAAGTTAAAATTTAGAGGCTAGGGCTCCAATTTCCAAATAATCATAATTCATTACAAATAAACTATTTGTAATTTGAAGAACCTAGAAGTCAAAACAATGAGCTCAAGGGACATAATAAATACCATATTCGGTGATTTCCAAAAAAGTCTTGATGAAGAACAAGAAATACGTGAAGTTAGTTGTAATTTCAAGTAATTCATAATACTTGCTCGTTTTATGCCGGCGCATTCTGTAGAAAGTTTACTTTATTAATATTTCATCCTCGGTTTATTATAATTATTAAGAGACGTAGTCACTTATTTATCGACTTAGTAAGAATTTATTACCAAATTATTATAACTTGCAGAAAATCCGCAATATCTGCAAAGATGTGGACCAAGTATCAAGGGAAATCACAACAGTATTACAAGTGATACACCATGATGAGTCTGCCAGTGAGTCAATTAAATTTATATTGTATTGTACTACTACATAAGATATTCTTAATACCAAAACCTTAACAATGGTAATAATTATACACTCAACTGCTAGGCTTATTAATATTTTTTTTAATAACCTTTTATTGTTGTAGTTTCTGCAGCATGTTTAACAGCTCGTGAGTTATTTGAAAAGGCAAATATTGGCTACAGCAAGTTGAAGGAAGTGGTTCCATCAGGGGATTACTATAAGTATGTATTATTCTTTTAAATGAGATATTTTTGTTTAAAAGTTTGTAAAAACAACTGCTATTACACACACATTGTATTATAAAATTGAATGGCTGTGAAACTACTGATAGTGTTATTAAATCTAAATTATTTTTGTTTGTTATTAGCTATGCCCATTAATTTTTTTTCTAATGGTTTTTTATAACTATTACTTTAAATATACATTTTAATTAAAAGGAATTTGAATATTTTTTAAAAAATAGCAATGTTTCATTATTTTTAAAGACTAAATCTACTTATTCTGCTATAACTAACAAAACTGCACCTAAATTCATCATAGCATGAACACAGTATCTAAAGAGAAGGATCTGTTCATATGAATCAGTCTAGGAACGCTAATTTAATTATTTTTGGTAGCAATTGAAATCGAAGTATACTTCTAATTCTTCCAGATACCACGATCACTGGCGCTACATGACACAACGTTACTGCTATCTTATTTCTCTCACAATTTGGTTGGAGAAGGGAATATTGGCAACCCACGAGACTGTGGCTTCTGTATTGGGTAGTAAGTACTAGATAAATAAAATTAATGTTATTTTTTTTTGCAATAAAAGCCTTGTTGCAAAAAAGAATGTTTTTACAATTAATCTTTTTTTTTTTAGTAAGTGCAGAGGAGTTAAAGAATGGCTTTCATTTAGACATTGATGATTATTTAGTGGGACTTCTTAATCTATGTACTGAATTGGTAAGTGCACAATTCATTTTCAACTACAAATTTAAAAATGTATCTTCAAAGTTAAAAATCACTTTAAAAGTTTGTATGTGTACTTGATTTGTCTATTAATTTTTCATGTGATGTTTAAAAAATAAAATAGAGTATCAGTACATATTCAATGAGTAACAGAAAATCTTAATTGTGTGCACCATATGAAAGTATGTATGTCTCTCCTATTATAGACAATTAAATGAAATAAAAATGTATCAATTATAGTCACGGTTGGCTGTGAACTCGGTAACCCGTGGGGACTACAACAAGCCACTACAGATATCAAAATTTGTTATGGAACTTAATGCTGGATTCAGGTAAGAAATTTAGCTTAAAGTATATACTTTACATGTCAATGGTTGAATAATGGATAACGCAAGTTTTTTATTGTAATACTTTGAAATACCCTTGAGGAAAAATGAATTGTTCAGTTTACTAAGATACAGTTATGGTAAAAAATGTTTTATTTATTTTCCTATAATATTTCATGTAATTTAATTATGCCAATTTTAAGCATAACTTGCTTTTATCCAGTAAATTTATTTGACAGGTTATTAAATTTGAAGAATGATCACCTGCGCAAGCGCTTCGACGCTCTCAAGTATGATGTAAAGAAAATAGAGGAAGTTGTCTATGATCTGAGTATTAGAGGACTTTTGCCTAAGACTGAAACTGCTTGATATATGATATTACAATAAAACATTTGGAAAAAATCTCATTTTATTTGACTAACTCATTAAATAAATCCCCTTTCTCTGAACAAAGTTTATTTTACCTAAATTACAACCTAAAAGTTACCATTATTAACAATAACGCGTAATTCAATCCCCGCCCCGTATCGTAACGTTTTACAAAAGAACCCCCCCAAATTCTTTACGTAATACTTGAACGCTCCCTAATTGAAATTCCGATTTCTTTTTGGAGTAGATTATTTTTGCAATTCGTATAGATCTTTCTTTTCCCTTTTTGATTAGAAAATAAATTTCGCAAAATAAAAAAAATTAGACGTCCGAAACCGGAAGTAAAAATTTCAAATGAGTTAGCTTTTATAATATAGCGGAAGTATAATTATAATTTATTAAAGTTTAGTGGTTTCTAGCAGGGGGTAGCAACTGTCATAAGTGTCCGGCGATGGATGACGAGATTTCTAAAACTTATCCCCGATAAAATGTTAAAAAAAATAGCTTTATATTAATATTATATTTATTAAACGCTCTTGGATAAAAGCCGAACGAAACAAACAAAATATAGAAATTAAAAAAAAAAAAATGTTGTACTTTTCCGCTTATAATTTAAAAAAATAACTGAAAAATTGAGCATTTTTTAGGAAAAATGGGGAGAAAATATAAACAAACTTTTACGTATATTTATTTCGCATATAAAACAATATACTGAAAAATAATTTATAAATAAATAATTGCAAGATCTTATTTTTGATACACTATTTATATATAAATTCTTAAATAAAATAATGCTGCATAATGATTCTCAAAGGTACAAGATTCGACGGAAATTATCAAGTATATTATAGTAATGCCTAAAGAAATTACTAAAAGTTAAAGCAAAATCTTGTATGAAATTCACAGAAACCACTGTGATAATTATGTTATCTAAGTGGGTAGACAACATATTTATAAATGTACCCACATATAAATGTTTTTCATGTAGATTAATAAAATCTATAATAAATGGATAACAATATTACTTGCAGACATATAAAATAACTAATGTTTGATCAACATTCATCTTGATTAACTATTTACTTATACCTAAGAGAAATAAAAAACTCAGTCTTACTGCATAGTTCAACACTAGGTAAGTATTAACAGTCCTTATAATAAATACAATTCAGAAGCTCGAAAAACAATATCACAAGACAATTTAGAAACTAATTTATTTTTGAAAGCAAAGCTTTTTAACTATTGAAATACTTTTATTGTAGTCAGTCACATTTTAAATAATAATAATTGTTATAATCTGGTAAATAACCACCTTGATTCAAAGATGTCTTCCAACAGTTATTCTAAACCCTTAGTACATTGGAATTGTTAATGTGACAGAATAATAATATTTGCATAGTAGACGCAGCTATGTAAGTTTAATGTGTATCTAAAACATGACATTCGTTTTCGAATAGTATTAGAAAACTATTCGAAATACACTGTACCGTACATTTTTGTATATATGATATTTTTCCTATACAAATTATCTATTCTAATTTCTATACGAATATTAATAAATACTCACATCTTGTATAGTAACGTTAGTTTAATTGCAAAAATGCGTTAACTATTCGATTGTACGTATAGTTTTTGCTACAGCTTGGTATTAAACCTAGATTTTTGATTTACATATATTAAATGTAATAAATTAAAAAGGTAATGCGTCATCCATTTGAACTGTCATAAGCGAGTCTTCGGGATGAATCTCCAACAGCGCCTGGGTGCCGTCGTTGAAAGGGAATGATACGCTCCCATCTATTACTAAGCCTAAAAATATATTTTAAATATCAATATTATACGTTATTATATTAATTAAGTATAATATATATATTATTTTGGTTTTAAATATTAAACTCACCGGCATCAGTGCAGTGGCTCCGAACGGTGACGGCTTCGGCCCTGTCCCTGACCCTGAGTCCTCGAGGAGCTGGCCATTCCTCGAAGGTTATGTACTCGCGGACGGAGTACGCTAATTGCTCGGAGTCTGGGATTCGAAAGAGAAAGAATATTTATAAATCTGTTTAACAATGTATAGAATAAATAAAATAAAATAAAAATAAAAAATAATGGAATATATTTTTACCGATTAACGAGTATTATTTAATGGGCAATAAAAATGATTACTAAATTCAGAGGTTCTGTGTTTATTTATGTTTATATTTAAAGCTTTTTTAATTTACATATTAGCACCTATCGGGTACCTAACCCTAACATTCATGGAAAGTTTGCCAAGAGTTATTTTAATTAAGTAATTACTAAATAAAAACTAGTATATAGTAAAAAAAATGCGTGCGTACAAAGCACACATGTCAGAAGTGAAACTTCTTTAGACTTCCGAGACTAAGAGGGAGGGAAAAAGGTAGATATGTTAGGAATTTAATTGTCATTAAAATATTAAGTGTCGAAAATTAATACAAATAATAAATTTAATTTTTTAAATTTATTTCTTCGATAATAAAAACACGTGGCATTTTAACATACAATTCGTCATTTGAGATTTCAATAAATTATTTTGCATAAAATATAAAATACTAATATTTCATAAATTCTCTTTACGAAATTTTAATTTTAAAAATATAATTTTTATAATTCACCCTTCTCACTCTCTCTCAATCGCTCTCTTCCTTTTCTTCGACGTAAACGCTGCACATAAATGTAATGAAAAAACAAAGCAAACCTGGGGGAAACATTAACTTGGTATTGTACTTCTCGGTGACCTCGCGAGCCTTCTCCAAAGACGTGTCCAGATCGGCCCCGTACTCTTCGTGGAGGATCTTCATCAGCTCCAGTACTGAGTGGGTCCTGAGGCAGTTTATGCTGAAAACATTTTTCTATACTATATATACATTCTTATTTTATATATACCTAGGGAATCTATTTTTTTTAAACACTTTACGTTTAAATTTATTGGATACGAAATAGAGAGAGAGAGAGAGAAAAAAAAATACTCATATTTTTTAATTAATGTCTTAGGCTGAAAATGTGTTTATATAAAAAATCATTTAGCACAACACAATAAAGCCATTTAAATATTAAAATTAATTTGAGATATATCATTTTGTATTAGTTCTATAGAAAAGTTAACTTTTGATACTTTTAAATATTTGAATGAGCAGTGTTGGCCCGGGTTTAGCCTGAGACTATTATCCCTGAGGTCGTAGGTTTGATTCCCGGCTGTGCACTGATGAACTTTCTATGTGCGCATTTAACATTCTCTCGAAAGGTGAAGGAAATCATCGTGAGAAAACCGACTTGCTTTAGACCCAAAAGTCGACGGCTCGTGTCAGGCACAGGAAGCTGATCACTTACTTGCCTATTAGATTGACAAATGATCGTAAACAGATACAGACTGAGGCCTAGACCTAAAAAGCGTTACTGATTTAATAAAAAATATATATATAGTGACGAAATCACAATACACAAAAACTTCAAATACAACTAAGTGGTACCTGTAATGCCACGACGTACTTCCGGTTCCGGTTGTAACGCAGAGTCCGGAACTCTTAGTATGAGCCCATTTCCCATCATCTATCTTCAGGCGGAGAAGAGACACCCGCGACGTCACACTCTCCCCAATAAATACCTGAAGAATATCTATCAATCAGTAGGCACCACGTGTCTCAGTAGAACGCATTTTAATATCAAAAATCACACATAAATGTTTTAAATAAATTGTTTTAACAAAATCTCATCTAATCAATATGGAAAAACAACTAACGGAAATAATAATTCACTAGAAGTTGAGTTCATGGGCTCAAATTGGAACCTAATTAGGGGCTTAGACTAGTGGTACCTTCACCGTACACTTCATGTATTTATATTGTTACCAAACACTATAAATAATAATTAATTTTCATTAAAAGAGCCTTTTCTTAAGCTATGTTGTATAGGAAAATCTCTCCAACTGATAACCAAAGAGATCAAAAGAAGAATATCAAATTGATGGAAAAGATATTGGTCACTGAAATCATGAAATCAACAGATTTCAACCTTGCCAAAGAGCCTTAAAAAAGAAGCATGCTCAGAATAAGAAAATTAGACAAGCATAGAAACACAGACATAATATAGTCTAGTCTAGTCTAGTATAATAATAAGAGCTAGAACGAGTGTGACATTCTAAGATCGACCAAATGAAATGGATATGGACGGGTCATATACTACTGAGCCCCCATGAAAAATGGAGCAAAATACAGAGACGGAAAACGAAGAAGAGACCGACAACGCAAAAGATGGGAGGACGAACAGTAGGCTACAACTGCAGAAGAGTCGCAAAGGATAGAGAACAGTGGGAAGGGTTAGAGGAGAGTGCCAAGAGGCACACCGGACTCCGAGATCTACTGGAGTGAAAATACATTAAAGATCATAGAGTTTTGGAATATAAAAGCTATATTATTATAATATTGTAATTAACATTGGCAATATTATAAAATTGAATAAGATTAAATTTAAATCATTTATTTATTTAAACTTTATTGTACTATTATTAAATTTACCTCATTTAGAGCTAAAAACGGCAGCACCTTTGTGGCTAAACTACATTTACTCTCCTCCTGAGGGTCTTTAAGTCTCGTCGCCCCTTCGTGATTGTCTTCTTGGTGGGACACGGGTGGATATCTGGAATTATCAATTTTAATTTATATAAATATAAATGAATCGCGAAATATGTTGCTAATCGCGACACTTAAAGACGGCTAGACCAATCAGATTATTTTTATTTATTTGTGTAGAGAAAAAGTTGATAATATAAAATAAAATGAAAATTTTAATTTCACATAGTACATAGGTTTTTATTCCGGAAAAGCGAATTGTCGTTCATGGGATAGCATAGCAAAATGTTCCATATGTTGGTATGTAGCTACTAAAAAGGTAGGCTAAGTAAAAAAATTATTAAGACGAAACGATGTTTGCTTGAGTTATATATATTTTGATATGAAAAATATTTAACTTTTTAAAAAAACAGTTTATTTTGCCATCTCTTCTCGTCCGTTCTACGGCCTTGATTTGAAACCGAAGTTAAGATTAATTTTTCACATTCCATTCAACAAAACACCGTCAAAATATTAATTAATTCCTATGTGGAGTTATCTAACTCAAAGTTACAGTTAAAACCTACTTTTAAACTATATTATAATAGTAAATTTGGAAGTTCTACTTCTTCAAGTATATTTTATAATTTTGTGTCATCGATTACAAAGCGAATACTAAGTACTTGTACTATCTTGTATTTTCAGATGACGATCCGTTTTTAATGTTTTTCTGTCAATAACGAACGAACGAAATTTTAACTTTACACATTTAAAATTAAAACAATGATCCGATGCTTACGATAAAATGCCTATTCAGAATATTTTTGAAACATGTTCGATACTTTGGGAAGTTTGTACCACTGTTTCTAATCAAATAAAATCATAATTTTTCTTTACAACAAAATGCTTTGAAATACTCACCTACAAAAGTGCAGAGTGTGCAAATCAACGGGCGTGATCGTATCCAACAGTTTCTGGTCGCTCGTGATCGTCGTACGTATCCGTGAACGACGCATCCAACGAAACTTACCCTGAAATGTATTAAGTTATAATTTTAACAAATGGTTTCAGTTTAATAGATTCCCAATTAGCTAAAAGCGTTAACTGACATACTAATAATAACTAATATTATAAACGTACGTATTTAATCACATTTACGTAATTACACACAATTTACGTAAAGACACACAGTAGAAAACACAACACAAGAGAGGGTCTACCAACTTAACACAATTAAAAGACAGTTGGACTTGACAGTTGACAGTTGGAATAAAAATATATGATGGGTTTGTTCTCATTTACTAACAATTAATAATTAGAAAAAAAATAACTAAGGTAACAGGTGTTCAATAACAATAAATAAAATAAAGAACGGAAAAGTGAAGCAAAAAACTACTAATCTGGTGCCCAAGGTACAGCAAACAAAAAAGAGGGGGGCAACCTAGAAGGTGGATAAAACACATTAAAGAAACAGCAGGTGGTACATGGCAGAGAGTGGCACAGTGCGGAGAGGAATGGCGGGATTTGGACGGGCCTTTGCCAAAAAAGGGCGCACAGTTACACTAAAAGAGGACTTAAATGGAAATGTATCTGAATTAAAGGCTATTATAATTAATCACAGAGTATAAAAAATCTGACCTCCTTTAAAGATTGTAGCGCACCCTTGAGATCATTGGAACACCAGGTGGGCAGGCACAGGCGTCCCACGGACTTATGCGGCGCGCTGTTGAAACCTATCACTGGTTTACTGAAAACATTCAAGTTGTATTTACTAAAGGACAACAATTATTAATACTATTTTATATTATAAATGTATTAAATAGAACATAGTATTAATAAAACATTTAAAACGTTTGAACCCTGTCGTAGTGAACACTTATAGCTGGCAGCATTTCCTCGCTGTATTGCGATAGTTATTCGTTGAGCGAAAAAAGCTCTAGCTCTGGGGATATGTACTATCTACCAGATGCCAACTTAAATATTTAAGGGGTTCAAGTGCACAGGCGCTGATTGGCGCCTGTGCACTTGAACCCCTCACAAATAATTATTTTTTAATAATAAAAACGACTGAGTAGGTAACACGAAGAGAACAATAAATGATGAAGCAAAAATTGCACTGGGACCTCCCAAAGTATTGTAATGTTGCGTGTTGTTCCCACGAGAATGTAGGTGCTTAGTGCGTGCTCTTATTTCATCATGCCTCCTGCTGATACAGGATAAATCTTTGATTTTAATTTTTTTATTATTATTTATTACTTAAGATGTCATGTGGAACGTGGTTTAATGGTTGCAGCTTACAAACGTTGTGCAAAACAAAAAACTTGGTGATTAAAAAGAGTGGCGGAGAGTTTATTACCAGTTCTACGCCCTTGGTTAGAGAACTGGCAGTAAATGTAAAATTAGAAGCATTTAATATGTATTTCTGTTTTTGACGTACATTGTAACTCAAACTAAAAATAACTTTAGTCATGCAAAAAAGGACACTTATGAACGTGTTACCCATGCGAATAAACAATTTTGATTTAATTTGATATTATACCTAAACTGCGTTTTAGCTTTAGAAATCCTAAAAAAACTTCGTCGGTAACGTAATAAATTATTAAAAATGGCTTTACAAAAAAATTGGCAAATAACAGATTTAAATTTAAATTTGATACGACGTTTACTACAAACTATTGTTATTGTGTACGATATATGATTACATAAATACTATATCATTAGATAAGACTTACTTAGCGTCCCTGACCCTTGAAGCGGCGAGCAGGAAGGTCCCATCACCACCACACGGAACAACTGCGTCGCACCAATTTATCATTTCTTCGTTATATGTTAACCTAAAATAAGACATAATTTAAGTTAATCGGTACCTAACTCTATCCGAGTATTGCGAGATCTGAACAGACCCCAATATGAAGGCAGAAGCTGCCTTTATTAGTAATCAAAATAAATTTAGATTCTAGAATTGTGTTTTATATGAAATTTTGTCAATTTACCTATTACAACATTGCGGCTTTTTTAATAGAACAGGGGCCAAACGCTAGTAACTAAACGTATGAGGATACCGCCACCCATGGACACTCTCAATGCCAGAGGGCTCGCGAGTGCGTTGCTGGCCTTTTACGACCAGCAGCGGCTTAAGATACACTTTGAAAATCTATATAAGTTGTATGCGCGGTAAATTAAGTGTAATGATGATATTAAAATTTATCGAATAATCGCAAATTTATCATTTATCTATAAATTACGCAGTAAAATTACGTAGTTCGTAGTTGTTGTTATAACAAGGGGCTGATAAAGAAGATTGGAGTATCCCAAAGGGCTATGGAGCGTTCTATTCTTCGGTTGAAAAGACGAAGGAAAAACAAAAGAACGAAACCTTACAAAAATAACACGTCGTAACACTCAAAAAAGTTAAGGCCCTATCCCAGCACGAATTGCTGTGTCAGTGTCTCGGGGTGGACTGCGGGGTGGACTGCGGGGCGCAGTCGAGAGCTGGAGCACTGAGGCGCGCTGGCCCGTCATAACAAGTAAATTAAATTAATGTAATTTTATCAATTTTTTTTCTGAAATACATTACTTGGCTTGCGATAAAATATATCGAGTAAATTTCAAAATCATGTTCTATACACATTTTCGTCATAAAATGGATTCGAAGTGTCAAAAATTGGCTATGTTTGGATTTTTTTTCTATCGAGCGAAGGTATTTAAATCGTGTATCGATCTTTCAAAATGGATGCATAAACTACTCAACTCCACTATATATTTTTCCATTCGCCCTACTTCAAGAAACGAGGACGAAAAATGGAAAGAAACAATGTACTTTTTTGGAGTTTGGCGACCGGATAGGTCCTTAAAGTGGAATAGGTCGGTCACATAGCCCGCGTTTGTTATGACAGATGGGTCAAAAAGACTTTTACTTAGAATATCCCAGTGGAAAGAAAAATAGAGGACGGCCACCGGAACCCTGAGATGGTGAAATAAAAGAAATAACGGGAAAAGATTGGAAAATAGTAGCGAATATAAGAGACCACTGGAAGAATACTAATATTAAATTCAATAATAACATTAACTCTATGTAATACTTATTATACTCGAATAAATGTTTTTATTTATATCTATACTTTTAATAAAAGTAAAATTTGTATTTTGTTCATTAAAATACTACATTATTTGGGTTTTACAGGGCTATATTTACTTTCAAATAAAATAAATGTCCAGTCTTCTGAAGCCGTATGTAACTTACGTATACGTATATTTTTACAAGACCTATATATAGAGAAACTAGCGGACCCCACAGACGTTTTCCTGCATGATATTTCAAGCGATTAGGATATTAAACAAAGTATGAAAGTACCGACTGCAGCGCCATCTGACGGGCTGATTTGTGAATCTAAACTATCCAGAGCTCCACCCAAACGCATACAAAAAAATAATTCAAATCGGTCCAGCCGTTTAAGAGGAGTTACATACATACATACAGTAGAATTATATATATATGTGTAAGGTATCATATCTTTTAAGTTACCAGCACACGGAGTGAAAATTTGATTGAAATCGGTTAAATAGTTTAGGCGTTCATAGTGGACAAACAACGTGACGCGTAATTTATATATATTAAGATAGCAAAAATATATCCACTTTTATTTATATAATATAGGTCATATATACACGAAATAGCACCAATGACAGTGCGTTAATAAAGACGATTTAATTGATAATAAGAGGTGATTGATAAAAAAATAGCAAATTGATATTGCAAAATCTATATCACTGTGTTATCGTGGACAAACACGCGGTGACCTTGTCCATTAACTTGTGTTATAAATGTTTATTGTTTCAATTGATCGTGCTCACTTCGTACTGATAATTTGAAGGAATTAAATATTATGACACTATCTGGTCAATATATTTTTGAAGGCTCGTTGTATGTAAAAAAAAATATAAATGATTTTAAAACAAATGGTGACTTTCACCAGTATTATACTCGAAACAGAAATAATCTAAGCGTACCAACCAGGCTCCAGAAGATAAACCACTCCTTATATGGAAATTGTATTCGTTTTTACAACAAACTCCCAAGCGAAATTAGAGAATTATCACTAAATAAATTCAAAGCCATCGTTAAATGATTCAATGGAGCTTTAAATAAATTTGTCGATTATTTAAATGATCCTAATCCTTGGGATTGATTTGCTCCAGTTCAAACGCTCTACGCCCCTGACTTGCGAACTGGTAGTAAATGTAAATTTACGATTCATTTAACATATTTTCTGTTGACGTTCATAGGTGTACTTGTTTACCTATATGAATAAAGTTATTTTAAGTTTGAATTTAATGAACGAACTAATGCTCATGAGGATTTTGTGTTTTCTGAATCTTGGAGTAAGATTCCTGTTAATTTTAAAATATGACAGAAGTTCGAACTAAACATATATCTAAGTCCAAGAACTGAACTGAATCTCTATAATTAAATGAAATATAAGTAAGTAATATTTTTACAGATGGACAGGGCAGGCCACATAGCGCGCATGGGCCAGAACTGATCGACTCGCAAGCTCCTTGAGTGGAATCCTGGGGGAAAAGAGGCCGGCCCCACCCCCCCCCCCCCCCGGGGGCGGGCGCCCCCCGGGGGGGGGTGGCCCCCCGGGCCGGCCCCGGCCGGGGCCCCGGGGGGGGGGCCCCCCCCCCCCCCCGGGGCCGGGGGGGCGGGGCGCCCCCCCCCATCTGCGTTCGCCAGAAGTTTACCCGATCTAGAAACTGCGCTTTGTCACCTTTTAATTTAGAGAATTCCATTTCTTGGGGGGTGAGACACAGAACCTTTATTTTGCAAAAGAGACCAGCCAGAGCCATTTATAATCTACTCGTTGGAACTCTGAGGGAACTATTTAAGAAAGAAATATATGGACGTTGGCAATTCATTATGAAAATATTATCTATGTAAGAAAGAATTACATCTTTTAGAAAGTGAAAGACATTTTAGTACTAGAAATAAAGATAAAAACTAAATTCAGTTAGCCAACGTTCAAAATTCATTTATGGGTTACTTGTAATGTACAATAAAATACCTTGTGACTTAAAAGCTAAATGAACGAAAATTTATGTTTTTTAAACAAGTACATTGGAAACACTTTGTTATTTGTAAATGCTTGAAACAGATGGTCAAGCTCCATAGTAAAACCTATGGACTGGTGCCTCAAATCAAATTGGTGCTGATTTTAGAAACAAGAGCATACTACAAATGTAATTAATAGCTATGGGGCCTCACACACTGTTTTTTTTTTTTTTTTTTTTTTTTTTTTTTTTTTTTTTGAATATTCTAAGGTTCGAGTAAATATGTGAGGAACATGTAAACAGATAGTGTGAGAATGTTTATTTAACAAATGGCAAAAAATATTGTAAACCTATTTTAAAAGAGAAAGGGGGGTGTTTTCCCCCCCTTTTCCCCCCCCCACACCCCCCTTGGGGGGGGGCCCACAAAAATTTTTTTTTTTTTTTTTTTTTTTTTTTAAATCCTTTGATGGTTTTTTTTGATTATTTAGGAGATAATGATAAGTATGATGATGTTTTTAAAGGGAATGGTCAAGAGAACGGCCCGGGCCCCACCCAAAAAAAAAACAAGCCCCCACAAAAGGGGGGGGGGGCCCCCCCAAAAAAAAGAAAGAGCCCCCCCCCCAAAAGATAAATAGAGTGGAAATAGTTGGAAGATAGAAGATAATAAAATTGTATACAGTCAAAACCGTTAACGACGACATCGTTTGGAACAACATACCGGTTATATTGACCAAAATCAAAGGTCATCGGCTGTTACTACTATCGGTTTTTACGACCAAATATGAGTAGTCCCTTCGATGTCGTTATAACAGATTTTGACAGTATATATTTATTTTTGAATATTGTTTGTATTTAAATAACAAGTTTAAATGAGCTCTATATACTGTTATATACATCTTTCACCATGACCATGAATTTTTGTTTATACTCAAAGGGAGCGTTCAAGTATTACGTAACGCAATTTTTGAAGATAATTGACCCCCCCATTAACTCGCCGTAACGTTTTTCAGTACCCAAGTACAGTACTGTACCCAAGTCTAGTAAAACGTTTCATGACTACCTAGTGACTCTTTAGTTACTATTATGTGGTGTAAGTAGAAAATAATATTAACAATAACGCGTAATTCAATCCTCGCCCCGCATCGTAACGTTTTACAAAAGGACAAAAATTCGTTACGTAATACTTGAACGCTCCCAAAGACAATATAACACGTACCTACTAGCCATTTCAACTTTAACTCCCATTTCTTTTAACGCCTTGGCCACTCCCTCTTCAAAGGATTTCTGTTCTTTATGATTCGATACCATGGAGTCATAGTCAGATCCACGATTTCGTAGTATCTTCTCTAGCTCCCAATTCGATATGTTGTCGTGACTGTGCCTGAAATTTAATATAAAATATACAATATATATAGTATACTAGCTGATCCGGCAAACGTCGTTTTTCCATGTTTATAATTTATAATAAAAAATAGGGGTTGATCGTATAGGGGTGAAAATTAGGGTTTGTATGTATCTTTTAATGTTGTATCATAAAAATTTTTATCGAAAAATTAAAAAAAAACATTGGGGTGGACTACTCTTAACATTTAAGGGGATGAAAAATAGATGATGTCCGATTCTCAGTTATACCCAATATGGACACAAAATTTCATGAGAATCGGTCAAGCCGTTTCGGAGAAGTTTAACCACAAACACCGCGACACGAGAATTTTATATATTAGATATATTGTATACATACAAGATGTAATATCACCAGGAGAAAAAGTGGCCCTTAATTCTTTTCTTTTATTTGAAGCGGTTTCCTTGTAGCAAGAACATTATCGAAAATAATTAAAATTTTGTTAATTTTAGACAGTTTCATTAACTATTTAAGACACTATTAAACACTATTAAAAATTCCACTAAGGGCCTTCAAATATTACCTAACCACTATAGGGGGGTGAGGGGGAAGAACTTTGATTTACTTATTTGGAGATTACGTCAACAGTAATTATTTACTTTTTTTACACATATTACCCACACATAGCACATCATAGGCAATGCATGAAAACGAAATGAATTTTCCAGGATTCCTTCAAACAATTAACACGTTTATGTACTATTATTTTTGAGAGCTTTTCTTACTTTTGCTGACAAGAGGAATAAATAGAATAAATTGCAGTAAATCTGTTTACGTAATACTTGAACGGCCCAACCAATATAAAGCGATATAATATAGATATAAACTGAACACCAAATACAACATACTTTTCATATTCATATCTGGTGACCTTTGAAACAATGAGGCATTTTTCCATTTTGAGCTTTTGTTCTTTAGATGCATGCTGACGACGGGCTGGTACTTCTTTGCTTCTTAGACCTGGAATCAATGAATTCATTGATACATTCACGATGTTTTAAGATAGAATGTTATAAGTATGAAACTTATTGTCAGTTGTTGTAACGTCGTAATATGATTTATCAACCCGTTACTTGAACAACATTTGTTTTCGATTTTTACGAAATATTTTTTATTTCAAATTAGACTAATTTATTTTTAATGAATAAGGAGGTTAATCTTTAACTGTTAGTTATATTAATATTTTTACTATAATCAATACCCAACATTGACAGTTCTCTCGCGGAAATCTTCTTTAATATGAGGAAAGCCGGATGGTAGTGTAGTAGTTGCCGTGCCTGTCTAAGACGATTGTGCATTCAGATGGCTGCATTAAGTTATTCTTTACAGAGTTCGTTCGCTGACCAAGACTTCTTGCCACTCGAAACGTCAACTTATAATGTAATAAATTGTATTTATATACTCGAAGTTTTATTTACTTACAATATACCTGATTTGATTTTAATACTATTGAAGTACCTGAGTTTAATACTATTTAAACAGCAGTTTGTTTCAATAGTATTAAACTCAACTAGTTTGTTTTGTGAGATTTGAAAAACATCTCAACAGAGAGCGATAATATTTAATCTATATTCGATGTTAAATAACTGTTATAGTGCATTATCACACAAGTGTTATTCCAGTTGTTATCATCCAACTCTGCCCTCCGTGGATTCTTACCACTTATAACTTGATTTTAGTAAAAGGGCCTCGTGGAAATTTACACACGATAGCCTACGGTCAGTGGGACAGCGATGAGAGAACATTATATGGTTATTGTCTGATATTTGAAAACTGCTGATGAAGATAACCATCAAATATAAGAATATTTTAAGACCTTTCTCTTATAGTTGATTCTATCTTTGTTTATTCTAATGTCAATTCCAACATCATATGATCTAGTCACCTTGGTTGATATTGTGAAAAGCATAAAGTTTCATTTCTCTATCTCAGTTTCGATTCACTGGAGATTCTTTATTTTAAAATTTAAGGTTAATTAATAAGAAACCTTATAAATGACCAGTAGCCAGACATTGCATGGGTACTTCACTGTATATACATTATACTCTTACAAAAGATGAATTTTGTACCAGAATTTAGTTAGACAAGTCTAATTTAAGTTTAAATAAAAATACTTTTCTTTCATAATAACTTTCTTGGTCAAAGTCAGTATAATAAAGATAAGTTATCAATCAATATGTATCAAAGTTTGTACCCTAATTTAATCTATTTTATCTATTGTGTATTTAATCAGTTCATGCACATTCACACGATTATAACATCATGTTTTAATGATTAATGAACAATCTAGAAATTCTAAGATATGCGTAACAACGTAGGCAAAATATAAGTTTTCTATTCAGACTGTCGAGCCTTGGCCTGGCCAAGAAGCTGGTTCTATTTTGTCGTGGATTACTGTGTTAATACATTTCTATTATGTACCTATAATTACACAAGCAATAATGAAATTTGATACGTATATAGAAATATATTAAACATTTATTTTTCTTGTATACAGGCAATGTCGCATACTATGCTAGGGCTGGGAAATAAGCACTGTCTATTTATATAAATTTATAGGCTGCAATGTCAATGGAATGCATCTTGATAAACTACATTGTATGTGTCTTTATTTTTAGCGATAGATAACAGGTTTGTTGATATTCTACATTTCACTTGAATGGACAGTTGTTTTGTATGAAAAGGTCAACTTATTTTATTTTAATGAAGGATTCCTGAAATAAGGTCCAGTTTTTAAAGTGTTTTATGAATGTAAAAAATTAATGTGGATATTTAAAACCAACTTTGTTTGGTTTCAGTAGAAACATTTACCAATATAATATATATACAATTTATATTGAATGCATAAAACCAATGTATATTCTAGAAAAAAATAATCAATCACCACTACGAAAACAAAGATGTGAAGGATAATAGTAGATTGCATTTGATAAAAATGCATATTGTTATTGACTAATTATCATGATGTTATGAAAATTCTAAGATATGCAGTAGGTTACAGGAAATATGTTATTAACACAACATTAATTGATAAGCAAATGAATGATTTCTATTATTAATATTATTAAAACGTAAATTATTAATAGAAGCATAGAAGTAATTATTGGTATGATCTTCTCATAAGGTCAGTAAGGTGACTGGATATTAGCAAGTCATATGTAATAATTTATCTGAAATAATAAGACCATTTTATGAAAACAATGTCATTTTTATTATCATAAGAAAGGGAAAAAGAGGTCTTAATACATTTAATAATTAATTTAAAATATTGGTTAACCAGTAATGCTTGATCTAAAATTCTAACATTTTAAGGCTTTTATGCTGTATCTCTTATAGCAGACAGAGTGTAAGCATAGAATTTATAAGCAAAATTTTCTAGGATAATAAGCAATAAATAAAACTTACTGTTTTAATAAAAATAGTTGGTTCAGTAAAAAAATTATTATTTATTTAGATATAAACTGATAACGGGGTTGTTTTTCATATATCTTAAGTGCAGATACAACATGAAGAACAACAAACCAGTTAAATGCAATAAAACCTTAGAATATAATTTTAATTAGAGTACAAGAAAAAGTTGTTACACTTTATTTAATTTTCTTGTCCATTCTGGCATTGTCAACATTAATAGTTAGTACAGATGCAGCACAAGGTTTTACAAATACAAAAATAACCTGAGATAAGTTTTGAGGATGTAAAATTATATAGAAGATAAATCATTAAAACTAATTATGTAGTTATAGGTGCATATAGACATGATCTGTAAGTTTAAGTTATTTACTTTGTAAACACTTGGCGATGTTGAAATAGATACTAAATTGATAATACTTACGGCGCAATCCTTTCGCAATCGACACAGTAAAATTATTCAACACTGACATTCTTAGCACAAATTTTATCAATTATCAGTCGAAAATAAATAATAATTCTTATGAATAAAAACTTAGGACGCTCGTACACTTCAACAGCTGATTGTAAACTAATTGAAGCGAAGGCGTGGTCCCGATTTAAGGATTAATAAACTTATCGGGACACGAATAATTGTTATCTTATCACAGTACCTAAGTTGTTTTCGCATAAAAATAACAATTGAGTTAACAGTTAACACTAAACTCTGCCAAAGTTTGGAATTCAGCGGCGGCAAGAAAGCAGAAACTAGAAATTACAGAATTTATTCATATGTCAATGTCAAATGGACTAACGTTTCATTCTTCTGTTAACTTGAAAATTGACATCCTTTACTTGATCGATAGTCGATACCTTATAAATTTATTTTAATAAATACATATTATCTAAATATATAAAACAAAGTCGTGTTAGTTAAACCACTTCTAACTCAAGATAGGCTGGACCGATGTTAGTTATCACTTTTTTGGTGGATCCTTCTCCGCTCCGAATAGTATAAAGTATATAAGAATAAGTAATAAAATATCGGATAAGTTATCGAATAACCATAGATTAATTAATTAATTTTACGAATGCAAAACCATGTGGTGCCATCTGTTGTCAAAATTACGCAGCATTTTACATCGAATTCGTGTCAGTTGAAGAAATTCCGATCTTGAAGTGAATGAGGAGAAGCATAACCAGGCTTTGATCTTGATTGAAGACATGTGTTACCTCATCAAAAAATGTTGTATATCAGAAAGTGCTTTAACATGCAGTATCGCAATATTGGCGCTAGAGAGAAGAGTAAAACTGACATTCTTCTTTCGCAATGTAAAGCAATAAATTATTTCTGTATTTGCAAAAAAAGGTGTATTAATATTAATGAAATCCTAAATTAAGTTTAACTAAAGTTAACAAGATATTATTAGTCTGTTAGGCGGAACGAAGTTAGCCGGGTCAGCTAGTATTTTATAAAAATAGTATATATTATAGGTAGAAGTACAAATGTTCTTCAATTTGGAGATAAAGTTATGTCATTGTTGGAGGAGAAAGTTGTAACAACTGAAAAGTTCGAGTTACTTAAGCGAGAAGTGGAAATAATGAGGGACGGACCATTAAGAAATACGCTTTTTACGTACAAGAATATAAATGATGAGTGGATATTTACCAAATAGCGCTATTAATGACAGACCATCTAATATGTCAACGTTTCATTTCGACGACCGCTCAGATAGGTTGAGTCATTCGTCACCGCTACCAGCTATTTGGATGAAGATTTTGTCTCTTTTACGCAAGAGCAAAATCAGGCGTTAGATACACTGTCGCGTGTCGAGGCGTCAGTTTGTACTTCGGGTTCTAATCCGACGCGCGATGGCAGATACGAAGGCTGCACTGACCCTGATGGTGGCTGTACACACTCGGCGAGAGCCTTTCGGCTAGAGTGTCGACCGAGAGGACTGAGAGAAGAGCGCAGCCTGTACACACTCGTTACGTTAATTTTATTTAAAACACCGTTAATAATAGACGTGGAAACCGCTAGTGTGTACAGGTCGCTCTCGTTTTACTCGTGCGCCGACACAAAGCCGACAGGCGACCGAGAGAGGCGAGACCAACTGCGAGGAAGCGAGACGAGACCTCTATTGTACACTCTCGCACTCGGCCTGCCTCGGGGTGTCTCGACGAGTGTGTACAGCCACTATGAGAGAGTGAGCGAGACATCGAGGCGAGTGGAGGACGCGGCGTGTACCGACCTTACTCCTGCACCGAATAGTATTGACCTAAATATAAACAGCTCGTTGCACGCATCTGCGACGGATGTGCCTTCTGTGGCCAATAATTTGCGAGGTGCAGCGATGACTTTTTTAGTGTTTGAGGTACACCAAATGAAAACCGTAATAGAATTCACTAGCTTTATTGTCCTCTGACTTACATGGCGGTTATAGGGCGACTGATTTATCCACGTGCAAGTGGAATTATGAAATAATGATACGTTGACAATATTACAAATGGAATTACGAAATATCTATATAGACAATAATCACACCTCTACATACACCTCTACATACACCCCCTTCTTAAAAAAATATAAGTAGATACATATAAACACAAAAAAAAATTGACTACTGATACTTTTAAATACAAACTATGACAAAGTGTAAATGTTATAAATATATACACAGTTATAAATTAATTCCATATTTTTCTTTTTAATCTAAATACAAATTGGTTTTGCAATTAGCTGAACAATCGCTAAATTTGCAATTACCTACTTACTAAGTATGTTGCTTACAAATCAAAACATAAACCTAACGGGTTGCTTAACACTTCTACCACTACGCGTAATTTTTAAAGGTTCATTAACCTGCTTATGCTGATCTAAGTTTCCGCTAACCTGGTTGCTATTAAACTCATCTAGTATGTACGCTGGCTTTACACGGTCTATTGAAACATAAGAAATTTTATCATTTATCGCAATCTTAAAATTCTTTTTATTTCTTTCCAATACCTTGTAGGGTCCGCAATAAGGTGGTACTAAAGGTTTCCGTACTGCGTCTATTCTCAAGAAAACATGTGAACAGGAACCTAAATCAGCATGTACAAACATATTTTTATTACTAACATCTCTAGATTTAGGTTTAATACTATTTAAAATATCTCTTAATCTAATTATGTACGCTTGTGGATTCTCTATTTTAGTAATACTATCGCTACAAAATTCACCAGGTAAACGTAAACAATGACCAAGAGTGAATTCCGCTGCGCTTATGTAACCGCTGTCCGCCTGACACGCTGCTCGCAGTCCTAACATCACCGTAGGTAATTCTGCGAACCAAGCTGCGTTATTGGTTAGCCTCGCCATCAATGCCGCTTTTAAAGACCTATGCCATCTTTCTATTTTACCATTTGCCTGCGGATGATAGGGACTAGTGCGTGTTTTACGAATGCCTAATATTTTCATTAAATCTATGAATAATTCGCTCTCAAACTGCCGACCTTGGTCTGACGTCAGGAAAATTGGACAACCGTACCTACAGATCCAGTTATCATAAACTGCTTTTGCAACAGTCTCAGCCGTCATATCTGTAACTGGACAAATCTCAGGCCATCGTGTACGCCGATCTATCATCGTCACGCAGTACCGATAGCCATGTTCCGTCACGGGTAGTGGTCCTATTAAATCGATATGCAAATGTGCAAAACGGTCGCCTTCCTCGAAAGTACCTAACTTAGACACCGTGTGTCGCACTATTTTACTTTTTTGACATTGAATACATGTCTTTGCCCAAATTCCTATATCCTTGTTCATATTTGGCCAAAATGCTTTTTTACATATTTGTTTCAATTGCATGCTACTAGCGGTACTTGTACTCAATAAATTTGCTAACTCAGCGTCATCGGCCTGCGCATGGGCGATGTCTAGGTATTGTATCGGGTTCAGACATGTTATCTCTTCTATCCTCGACAATGCGTCCGCAACTGCGTTCTCCCTACCTGTTACGTGTTGGATGTTATTTGTAAATTCGCTAATAAATAACAGCTGTCGCGCCCTTCTAGGTAATTCTTTGTTTGAGCCTAACTTACTAAATGCGAATGTTAACGGTTTATGGTCTGTATACACCGTAAAATTCCTACCTTCTATTAAGTCCCTAAAATAAACGATGCCTGAGTAAATCGCCAAAAGTTCCTTGTCATATGTGCAGTACTTCTTTTGGGATTCCGTAAGCCTTTTCGAAAAGTATCCTAGGGGTCTCCAAGTGTTGTTTTCCTTTTGTTGTAACACCGAGCCGATACTGAAATCGGATGCGTCGGTCATTAAAGCTAATTCTGCGTTTGCAATCGGATGCGATAAAGTGGCGGCGTTCTTTAAATTCTCCTTACACAAATCAAATGCCCTACTAGCCTCGTCTGTTTACTGTATCTTACGCTTATCGTTCTTTTTTGCTCCATGCAAATACCTATCTAACGTTCCTTGTACTTTCGCGGCGTTCGGTATGTGATTTCTATAGAAGTTTAACATGCCGAGAAACCTGCGAAGGTCCACAACAGTTTCTGGCTTCGGGTACATTTCGATAGCTTGAACTTTGTCGTGTAACGGACTAATACCTTTTTCTGAAACCTCATATCCTAAAAAATCTATTTTTGTCTGACCAAAAACACATTTTCCTAAGTTAATTGACATACTGAATTTACTGAAACGCTCGAACAACAGTCGCAAATGTTTTTGGTGTATTAGCTCGTTATCTGATCCAATGATGACGTCATCAAGGTACCCGAATACATATGATTCTCCGGTTATATTCTTATCATCTAAACTATTCAAATGTTCTATACCTGCTAATATAATATTTGTGCCGCGTTACGCAGTCAAAACGTCATCCTTGGGAACTCAAAAAGTCCGAATGGGGTAATAATCGCTGTCTTTTCAATATCTTCCGGCCTAATTTTTATAACGTGATACGCTCGACAAATATCAATTTTTGAAAAAACTTTTTTGTTATGTAAACCATAGGTAAAGTCCTGAACTCTGGGAATCGGGTAACGGTCCGGTTTTGTAATTGCATTAAGCATTCTATAGTCCCCGCAAGGTCGAATGTCACCGTTCTTTTTAGGCACTACATGTAGTGGGCTGGCCCACGGACTACTCGATGGTCTGCATATCCCTAACTCCTGCATCAGCTGGAATTCTTTTTTAATTAAATCATACCTGTGAGGTGGCAGCTTCCTTGCACGCGTATACACTGGCGGGCCTGTTGTCTCAATATGGTGATAGACAGAATGCTCTGGCACTTCCTTAAAAATAGGTGGACGCGTGATTTCCTTGAATTGCTCAAGTAATTCCGCGTACGGCTGGCTACTACTAATAGACTTCACCGCTCCTATCGAGTTTACACTCTTTGTTCCACAAACGTACAAATTAGTAACTAGGTCAACTAATCTATTATTATATAAATCTACAGATAATCTAAAATTTCTTAAAAAATCTGCCTTCACT